AGCACAAAAGGTACCTACTAGTTATTAGTGCTTAATGGTCATGAGAGCTACCATGTAATGCTGCTTCCTAAATGATAGGATGTATAGACATTTCTTACATAAAGGTTTAACTTAATGGAGGAGGCAGGAGATCAGACACAAAGTCTTTCTAAGTAACACGTTATAGTATTGTAAAGAATACTATATTGAGTTGGGCACGGAGCTCCTATCTAAGGAAATACTATCTACTTATATAGTGGCGTTGTGCCTTATAGATCCTGTCTAGTCTATAGACCATGTAGGATCAGTCATGTCCTGTGACCTCCTTATGACTCACGGATCCTATCTAGTCTATAGACCATGCTCATGACCACTTCATGACTTATGCATGACTTATGACTGTAGCCTTCTAACAGGTTAGGTCACGTGGCACATTCTGTCTTAGCACTGCTAGTAGAGTGGACCATAACAGCTGTAACAGCTAGTGGATAGTTGGGAAACTAGTGGATAGTTGGATAGTTAGGATAATTAGAACTATCAGTGTTCGGCGGATACCTCTCGGGTATATACCTGGAGGTTGGCCAGGTAGGGTAGGTATATACCCGGGTATTGCCAAGCCTTGTGACTTGATCACGTGTAAAATGTATATAGCAATAAGTAGCACCAAAGCAGGATCACGTGCTAAGGGCTGACCTGATCTTCAGCACGTGACGGGGCACGGGCGACTTCAAATACCCAGATACATACCCAGATACTCAGGTAGGTACGGGTATGTATAAGAATCAGAAAGGTAGGTATATACCCGGGTATATACCCGGATACGCTGGGTATATACCTACCCCGTGCCGAACACTGAGAACTATCCACTATCCTAACTATCCCTAACTATCCGAACTATCCACAACTATCCACAACTATCTGAACTGTCTACAAGGCATGATGCCACTATATAGGTAGATAGTATTCCCTTAGATAGGAGCTTTGTGCTCAACTTAACATAGTATTCTTTACAATACTATAGCGTTTTACTTAGAAGTGTTCATGTCTAATCCCCTGCCTCCTCTGTTAAGTCAAACCTTATGTAAGAAACCTCTATGCATCCTATTAGATAGGAAGTAGTGTTACATTATAGCTGTAGTAACATGACTTATAGTTACGATGCTAGGCTGTAGTATCATAACTCATCTAATGGATAGTTAGTGTGTTAAATAGTATGAACCTATATACTACCAAGCATTTTTCCTAACATCATAGAGTCTTAAGTGGGCCCTAAATAGGAAATTTTGAGATAAATAAACATTGTGTTACTAAGGTTATTATCATGTTAGTGGAGCAACTATCACACACATGCTTTATGCTAGCATCTACATTCCTTAGTAGCATATAGGCCATATACTATCTTATACACTATAGATAGTTAGATAGTTAGGATAGACTATCTAACTATCTGAACTATCCACTAAGTATGATGCTAACGTGACTGTCATACTGACATTCGTTGCACTCAGTTTGCTATCAAACTCAAGAGCAAACTTAGAAATCTCCTCCTCAAACCTACAAGTCACCATACATATCTTGGCTTATCACTCCAACAACAGAAGCAATACTACTCAACGATTGCTGCAAACTCTTCTACTACATCTGTTTATGCTACATACATCACGGCATATCATTTGGACACTCATTGAACAAGTTATTAAGAAAATCTCCTCCTTAAGGGGGTGGGCCAATACTACCACATGGCATATCTCTACCAACTAGAGGCCTAGGAACATGAACGATAGCTCTAGAAGCTTCTACAACCCTCTATGATTCATTACACGTCATCGCTCCTTAGTTACCCACAAGATTGGTTAAGTTATGACATAATTTGTCTATAGGTACTCTGACCTTGGACCTCCTTTTCACTTCCTATAGGCTAGAAACCCAAGAGATGGTTCTATGGGATTCTCTTACGTTCACTACATGATTAGCAAGCTAGTTGTGGGTCGCACTTGATTTCTAATACATTTACCAAGCCTGGTTAGTCATGGAAAGTCATGGAAAATGAGAGAACTACACTCCTTTGGCATAAATAGGATTGCCCTTTCCTTAAGAAAGGGCAAGCAGGCAATACAGTAAATCGACTAGCACATACTTCTACGTCTTTTCCAAGCTTCCAAGCATTGATCTTGTTATTCTCTGTTTTTGAAAAGTCAGTGAGGTGCTAACCTCTGACTTACCCCTGAGTTCTCAGACTCAACATTTGTTGCAACTTGTCTAAACCACTTCACCACATCATACACCTGATTGCTGCGTTGTGGAATAGTCTAAGCTACAACCCTTTGGCTCTGTTTCCTAAGACAGTGTGTTGTCTTAGTAAATTCATCCCTTCCTTGGGTGGCTAGATTCTCATATCTGGTGCACCCACCATTACAGTGACTCATTAGAGGGGTAGTGACTCATCTAATGGATAGTTGGATAGTTAGGATAGTTCAGACTATCTAACTATCTGAACTATCCACTAAATATGACACTAACGTGACTTAGTGACTCATCTGATGGATAGTTGGATAGTTAGGATAGTTCAGACTATCTAACTATCCGAACTATCCACTAAATATGACACTAACGTGACTTAGTGACTCATCTGATGGATAGTTGGATAGTTAGGATAGTTCAGACTATCTAACTATCCGAACTATCAACTAGGCACGATGCCACTATATAAGTAGATAGTTGTAATGCTGACTTCTAAACAATAGAAGACACAGAGGTTTCTTGTGCAAGGTTGCAGCTGTAAGCACTAGCCATAGCACTAGCACTTAGCCATAACAATAGTTATTTCTTAGATAAGAGCTTCGTGCTCAACTCAATATAGTATTCTTTACATACTGTAATGTGTTGCTTAGAAAGCCTTTGTGTCTGATCACCTACCTCCTCTAATAAGTAAACCTTATGTAAGAAACCTCTATACATCCTATCATTTAGGAACTAGTGTTACAGGACATCTACAAAGGCACGCCACTGTAGTGCCTGTAACAAGACCGGTCATAATGTAAGAACTTGCCAAAATGATGCAGCGGCATCTATTACAGTTATTACTAAATAGTTTAATTAATATCTGTTATAACGTACATGTATAGCGAAAGCGCCAAACAAGCGAAAGCGCCAAAATTATCTACCCTCACGACAAACATTGCGATAAATCTACCACAACATTAGAAATCAATTGAAACTACTCGGAGTCCTCTTCCTCAGAGGTGTCTATTACAATCTGACACGTGCGCGCATTGTGCCCAGTCTCACCACACTTGCCACAGCGACGGGCACGGGTTTCTTCCCTTGGCTTCCGACCACGGCTTGCCCTTATTTCCTGCTCTACCTGCTGCACAACATCCCTCTCATCCTGTAGCTCTTGCGCCCCTTGTTGACTAAGTGATCCTCCTTGCTGTAGTCGTGTTTTCCTAGCTCTCCGGCGCTTGCTTAGTACTTCATTTGCCTGTCGTAGGTTTTGGTTCTCTCCCTTTAGCAGTGCTAATTGATGCATTATTTGCGATGCACCCTTTGTAAACTGGTCAACAGCTGCATAGATTGAGGTTGGAGAGCTATTTTGATGGCGTGAAATCCGAGTTTTAATAAATGTAGACTGTGACATAGCTTCAATTGGGTTGTTTGGTGTCTGAGAAACCCAAGGTTGAGCAGTACCTGGGCGGGAGCTTGGAGGCGTTGGTGTCCTTAACTTAAGATCAAGTGTAGATATCACTCTCTCAGGGTCAAATGGAAGAAGCCCTGCCCCTCGGAACCCGCCTCAAATGTTACTTTCCGTCATTGTAGTGTTAAATGCAGCGTGGAAGGCAGGAAAGAAGTCATCCTTTGTAATATGAGAAATATGAGCCTGCATCATATCTTCAATTTGCCGACCATAGGCCTGCTTTAACGGGCCGAAACAGCCAACATCAAGTGGCTGGAGTAGATGAGAAGAGTGAGCAGGCATACAAAGCGTAATAATGTTGTGTTCCTTGCAGTACTCCTCAAACTCATCTGAGTGGTGGCTCTCATGACCATCAAGGACTAACAAGCGATAACCACCAACACTCCGGGCCTTTGTATGCTTCTCAAAGTGCTGAATCCAATCCATGCCTCTCTCGTTTGTAGTCCAGCCATTTTCAGTAACAGAAATCACCCAATCGCTTGAAAATCCACTATTCTCATACCAAGATGTAAGGTGGTTTTTGCCTGCAACAATGATAAATGGTGGTACTGCCCAACCTTGAGAACTAACGCCTTGGATTACTGTAACCCATTCCCGATTACCAGGCTGTACCTTCTTTGCTTTTGCCCGCCCGTCTGAGCTTGTTACAACCATAGCAGTTGAGATAACGCCCATCATAAACCCAGTCTCATCAAAGTTGTAGATATCTGCTTCATCGATACCATATTTCGCAATTGTGTTACGCACAAGCTCAAACCAGCCATTAATAACTTCTGGATCTTCGCACTTAGCCCTCTGGTAGTCGTATTTGCGCTGAAAGCGTGTCTGGAGCTCTACACGCCGCTTAACAAAGTTTGAAGCCCAACGCGACCCAACGCGTGACGCGTCGCGTGTTGCAAGTAGTCGACTTGCCATATCTTCAACAACAGACAGCCGAGGAGGAAACCCTTTGGCAGCTAGGTCGAGTATATACTGAACAAGGACGGACTCCTCTAGGTTAGTTAATTTCCGTGAGTTGGCTTGGATATCGCGTCGTGAAGGTACACCTTCTAGACGACGACCTAGCTTGCGGTGGTCCACAGAATAGATCCTAGCAGCAACTCGAAGGCGTAACTTTGGGTCGCTTTGCATAGCCTGGATAGCTAGCACTAATTGGCTTTCATCGTTTTTATGGGGCATGTTTTGTTGTTGAGGAATTTAACATTTAGTTGGGGGGTTTGGTCACCGCATCATTTTGGCGCTTTCGCTTGTTTGGCGCTTTCGCTATACATGTACGTTAGTGGTGTTGCAATTTAGGTTTATTCTTAAGCGTTGCCGCGAGGTGGCGCGCTCACCTAGGTGGCGCGCTCGCTTGTGAAGTACGTTATTTGTGTTCTACAACCCGAAATCTACACGGCCAATAGTTCTCCCGAGAGCGGTAACACTTCTACCTTCTACACCACTTTTTACATAACTTTCTACTTCCACCTATATTTATACCAAGGCACCACAACTGCACCACTGCTTTAGAAGGAGAAGTGTATCCTTGCCAACTTTCCTGCAGACAACACCGCAGGTAAGACAAGAGTCCATGCCTCACTTCTTGACCTCTCAAGCCACTCTGGCCTAGCCTCTTGTGGACTCTTGGTCTGCAAATCGATCAAAGCACACGTTACACTGCTGGCTTCCGGACTCTCAGAGCCAGCCAAAACGTGAACCTACTACAGTTCACATCAATTTGTATGTAGGTTGCAACACAACTTCAATCCATGGGCTATGGCTGTCCCTCCGTGGGCTATCTGAGCGATTTCACTCTGTTTCGAAAATGAATTTCATTGGATTTTATAGTTCAATCCACTTTCCAAGTCAACCTCGATATGGCTTGTAAGGATACCGCGCAGGCTCATTTGTGTGCATCCCTTACGCCAGCTCAACTTCACTTGTTTCTTTCAGTGCTCTGTTTTCAATGCCTTTTTATTATTATTGAAGGACCAATCCCCGTACCGCCCAACTGCAAGCCCTCTGCTGCGTTGGTGTTGCGTCTCCCTTTGTTCAAAGCGAATTCTTTTCAACCCTATTCAAGTGTTCTTTGTCCGAACACTTTCTACTTTCCGGGGATGAAGATCTTACATTTAAGATCAGAAACCATAAATAACAGCTGCTCTTGCTTATTCTCCTACAATACAATGGCTAACTTGGATGAGCAGGTCACTCTTGGGACAGAAGGCACGACCGTGCCCAAAGTCCAAACATGCCGCCACAAAGACCCCCAAGCTCATCTGGTCCGTCATCTTCCTTGATGGTCTCGCAAGATGACTACGTCCCGCCAGTCAGATGTGACCCAAGCGTCCGTGTCAAAGCAGAGAGGGATGGCGATAACGATCATGATGACTTCGTCGATGTCGACGATGAGGCAGAAGAGCTTCTTGCCGATGCCGATGGAGTCCCTATGTACTCTGATGCCGACTTTAAGATACGCCAAGTCGCATCCCCATTTATCGTCCAGCGTACACTAGTGAGTCTATATAGTATGTCCCTTGCCATAACCATTCTCTATTTAATACTGACACGTAAGCAGACTTGAGCAAGACGAAATACCTGAAGCTGGACCCTGAGTATCAGCGAGATGTGGTTTGGGATGAGACGAGGTCGTCAGGCCTAATTGCCTCTGTCCTGCAAGGTTACTTCATCCCCCCCATTATTTTCAACGTGTTAGAAGAATGGGAGACGTTGGATAGCGGCGAAGAAATAATGCGACATTGTCGGATTTGTGTTGATGGAAAGCAACGTCTCACCTCCCTTCAGAAGTTCATGGAGGGCAAAATCGGAGTGTCCGACTCGTCGCACCCACCGAAGAAGTGGTTTTTCTGCCACCCGATTGTCGGCGGTGTTGAAAAGCAATCAAACCACAATATCCTTCCGCTGAAGACAAAGAAGTTTTTCGAGTCTCGAATGTTTTGCTGCTATGAATACCAGAAACTCACGCCTTCTGTTGAAGAGACGATGTTTCAGCTCGTCCAACGCGGGATGCCACTTACCCCAGCTGAAAAAATGCGTGCCATGTCGACACCATGGGCAAATTTTGCAAAGCAGTATGAGAACGATTACCCAGCTGTCCTCTCTCTAGGTAGACAGAGCAGGGCCTCTGGCTTCCGTCAGATCATGTCAATATTCTGCCAGATCATGGAAGTCATGTCTCCAAGTGCCGACAAGAAAAAGAACAGAGAAGGAGCAGGATGGAAGCCAACTTACCAAGCCACCCCATCAAACCTCACAAAGCTGCTTATGGATACGCCATCCCTAAACGAAAGTGTCAAGAGAAAATTCAAAAAGGTTTTCGACAAATATGCCGAGCTCATCGCATCGTGCTCAGAGCCAGATAAGGATTCGCCCACCGGATCCTCAATCAAGAAGAACAGTTGCTTTGCGCCTACTCCGGAGGGCCTAAAGAATAGAGGGGCATCCCACGTCAGGACCTTCTCACCGCTCGAGGTTGTCGCCACCGCAATCTTGCTCCTCCGCCATATGGACGATAGAACCGACACGATGCTCCAAGGTGACATCATGGAAATGCGCGTCTACCTCCGCCAGAAGAACAAGGACCTGCGGCTGAACAACACATGCTGGGCTGATTCCTATCAATTCATTGATGTCGACATGATCCAGATTCGCGGTGGAGCAGGGGCCTCGAGACGACGTGCGCCTCCTGTGTCGCAGCAAGCTCTTCCAATTGAAATCGATAGCGATGCCCCAGATAATCAAGCGGGCCGACGCACCTCCGCACGCAGAAATACAGATGGGTCATCCGCGCTGCCAATGCGTGGGGTAGATCAAAATGGTGATGCAAGGCCCACTCGGTCAGGGCGAGTGGGCATGAGCTCCTTGACGGCTTCAATTGCGAACGGCAGTCCGATAATGACGGACGGCCTATCCAGTCCGCAGGCTGGATGGGGAGGACCACAGGTAGCACCAACGGCACCAGCGGCACCGATGGCTCCGATGGTGCAGACAATCCAGCCTCGGAAGCGTCTCCATGGATCTGATGGCAGTGCAGCCCCTACTATCAGGCGTGTTCGACCGAGAGATTGAGATGGTGTGCGTGGTCCTCTGGTCTCAACTCGTCCGCTGACAGCTGCAGACACATGCTTGATACTTCCCTTCTTTTGGTTTAGCCTTTGCAAATCCGACAGGACTACCCTTCTATCTACATACTCAGATTACAACAATGCAACGATTTAACGAAAACGATTACGCTGCTCTTTCCAAAACATCTCTTAAGTTTCGCCGTCGTCGGAGACCGCCGCGATACACAACTTGCATGTGCAAGATATTTATGCACCCTCGGGCTTTTCATTACTTCCATCTTTTGGTTTCCCGGTTCCTCATGCATGTTTGCCTGAGTTTTGCTCGAAGAGAGCCGTTTGGGTGGTTGATGGTTTGTTGCCATGTAATGATTGACCTGTTGCATGCTAATGGAGAGAGAGACGTTGCAAGGGGGGTAGAAGAGATAGCTTATTATCTCGTTGCGAATGCATGGCTTTCAAAGATCATATTTCGTTGTAATATTCTGTGTGTTTCTGAACATGCCATGTCTTTCTTGACAAAGCTCGCACGAATCCCCGTCCTGCCTAGGTATCTTAACTCCATTTGCCACCGCCCTTGCCCCCAATTCCGACCCCTTGTGAGCAATGATTCCTCCCGCACCCCCAACATCCATCCCTTGTGTAATGGTTCATCCGGCCCTGGGCTCAGCTATCCCCTGACCGCCACTTTGTGATGCCAAATCCATCATGGCTCACACACCACCCATCACGTCGGCGTCGCACAGCCATCCCTCTATCCATTACCAACCAGTCTCTCGGGCCCTCTCTTTACTCGAGTATGCAATATCCCTCCTTTCCTCTCTCCCTCACGTATCTCCCGCCTGCGACCCCTCCTGTCCACCCCCCGCCACAGTCTCCTCCCCCAACACCTTCGAGGCAGCCATGAATCTATCACTTGTATTAGCCCCCATTCCAGCTTCCCGCGCCCCGAAACCCAGAAAAGAGAAAAACTCACAACCCCCCATGCCACCCTCCTAGCCCCCGTACACACTCGGCCTGCACACTCGTCATGCGTACCAGATTCTCGAGATCCGCCAGATTGGCGCTCAGCTGGGCCAGTTGCGCGTGGAGGTGGGACTATAGCGCGAGAATGTCAGCTAGCTTGGCCAGTACAGTATACTACGCGCTCATTCCAGATGAGTCGGGGGTTTCGGAGGGGAAGATCGGGCCGGGGGGGGGGGGAGACGTACAAGTTGACGCGGCTTGATGCTGCTCGGTGCTGTGCTCAGGCGCGGGGGCCCGCGTGATGAGGATGCCATCCCTTACTGCGTTTGTGGCGCCCTGTGCGCGTCGCCGTGCTTGTTCGATAGGGTATTTTAAATATTCGGCGATTGTGAACCTCGTTCAGTGCAATGTGGAGCTGGCTCGGAACGCTGTACTAGTGGGACATGTAACGCTCGGTTAGCCCCCTCTCAGCTTCGTAGCCTTGTCGGTTGCGTACCGACATGATGACAGTTATACAAGCACAAAACCTTGATTCCAAGCACGGATATATGAAGCACAAGAATGAAGTACGAGCACATGTTTATACGAGCATGATGTACGCGTACGAGTACTACAAACGGCAGAGCGATACTCTACTCTCGTAATGCTGCTCTTCCGACTGGTTGGACAACGACGTTTCGGAGAGACACTCCATCGGACCACCTGCTGATCTGGGAAGGGTCGAAGGTCCAGTAATACTCCAACGTCCGTCCACTTTACTCCTCGCACTGGCATTCGGGTTCGCAAGAGCCGGCCGATCGATATGGCTCTAGACTACTCCAAACCATCCCCGCCTCCACAAATTCGTTGTGGCACTGAAACGATGTGAACCCCCTCCTCCTCCTGCTGTGCTCTTGTATAATTATGGAATTATTATGGAATTATGAAAATATTATCCTCCTTGCTCTCGCGTGGATGATGTTGTGCCTCCTCTTCGGGAGGGAGCCATCCCGAGTCAACTAGTATGTACAAGCCAAGGGGGTTTGAGACATATTTACATATACTCGTACTTTGGGTCAAGAATTGTTAACAGGGGAACCATGTACGTAGTTCCACCTCGACGCTGTTTTAAAAAGTTGCGAGAAATAATAATATAACGTATTTCACATGCGAGTCGCCCACACAAGCACCTCATTACAACATAATATCTTTATAGTCTTTTTCCTATGCGCTTGAATTCATATACCTTGATCTTACCGAGTAGAGTGATTAGTTTAGTAATTATTAAGATGTTAGTTTTTAAGGTTGTAGATATCACCCATGTCTTAGTATCTTAAGAATTACTAAATATATTACTATAAAATTAACATGTAAGACTTTAAATCCATAGGGAAACCTAACGATATATTTTTGAAATCTATTATTGTGAGATATTATGTTGTAAATTTCCTAATTTTTAGTGAGAAATGAGGTGAACGAGCCGCTTGTGTGGGCGACTCGCATGTGAAATACGTTACCACTCGTACGTAAGTAAGTACGTGACGCGTTATATTATTATATAACGCGTCACGTACTTACGTACGAGAGTTAAAGCAGCATAACATTACTCGGGTTTTTATTAGACTATACTTCTACAAGGGGGGAGACGATCATTGCAGGTTTAACAATTATTAAAGTGCCTACGCAGAACTGCACTGGCCAAGTCACCGCCGTCCACTAAAGGAATATCGGGACGGGCCCCTACTTAGTACGGAAAGTAAGTTTTGTGAGTGGGGGGCCTAGATATATGTGATCGATACACGAGTTTATGCTGTTGTGCACAAATTCTGGGGTCCCATGCTCGATCCACTCACAAAACTTTTGAACATTACCTCCGTAGACGAGCCATTCTCGATGGGACTACAGTACATGCAGACCGGGCCCAAATGAAACCGACGATGCTCAAAGCTCCTCTATCGGCGCATTCCTCCGGGGAAGATGCCTGGGCAGTTAGTGATGGAAAGTAAGACATATATTTAACCAGCACATCCAATTTGTCTCCTTATGAAGCGTCTATCGTCCTCTGTGTCACATCGTCCTCGATCTTGTTTGTCTCTTCCCATATCTTCTTGCTCATCCCGCATCTTTCTTCGTGGCCGCTGGCCCTTCCCTAAAACTCTATTTTACTCTACCTTGTGGTTTAATCCCCACCACAGATCTGCAGTCGTCTAGAAGGTCGACTCACACCCTTTCAACATGTTTGTCGATGCTCTCAAGGACTTCGCGGCTGAGTCCCCCGCCGCAGCAAGTCTTGCCGGCGTTCTTCTCGTCGTCTCTCTCATATACTACTTCGTCCAGCGCCCGCAGCGGCTTAACTTCCCTGTTGTCGAGTTGGGCGATGACTTGGGCTATGATCGAGCTCTTGATGAGGGCTTCTCAAAGGTAAGTTCACACAGTGCTATCAGACACAGGATTGGGCATGTGTGCTAACACCTCCAAAAGTATCCCGATTCGCCGTTTGTCCTCCCAACCAACCCGCCGGTGGTTATTCTGCCACACGCATGCGTGAATGAAATCAAGTCCCTACCAGAGAACAAAGTGTCGTTCAAGAAAGACGTCCAGCATATGTTTACTTGCAAGGTAACTGGCATTGGCGCAGAATCACATGAGCTCCTCTCCGCCGTTAAGATCGACCTCACCAGGCACCTCGCCAGCGTCCTCGATGGACTCCAGGATGAGACCCGCTATGCTATCAACTCCGAATTTGGCCGATGCGAAGACTGGACGCCCCAGCCCGTGTACTTCAAGCTCACCCGGATAGTCGCGCTTCTCAGCGGCCGCGTCTTCGTTGGTCGGCCTCTGAGCCGCGATGAAGCGTGGCTGAAAGCAACGATCAACTACACGTGGGCTTGCATCCGGGCCTCCGATGCCTGCAAGAGATATAGCCCATACCTCCGCAACATCGTTGGCCCCTACCTAAAGGAAGTTAAGGACTTGAAAAAGCACCGACAGGATGGTGCGGACCTGTTGCGGCCTCTCCTGAATGACCTCCTTGAGAGAGAGGCCAGTGAGAAGCCCGGTTCAGGCGGGTTCGACGATCAGCAGGGCACGTTCTGCTCGTGGGTTCTCAAATACACTGTTGAGAAGGACCGGGCGAGCGCACTGAACTTGGCCAACTCCCAGATGACCCGTGAGTATCTCGGCCCCCACGCCCAGCTGCACGTGTACTAATCGCCTATCTAGTATCATTCGCAGCTATCCACACCAGCTCCATGGCACTCTCGCAGGTAGTCTTCGATCTTGCTGCACGTCCTGAGTATATCAAGGGTCTCCGCGAGGAGATTAAAGAGGTCCTCGCCGAAGACGGCTACGACATCGATGGCGATGGATTCACGAGGCTAAAGAAGTCCTCCTACACGAAGCTCCGCAAGCTCGACAGCTTCCTCAAAGAAAGCCAAAGACTCTCACCTCCCAGCATCAGTTTGTCCCCCTGACCCCCTCAACATGCCCCATTCTAACAAAACCTCCAGTCTCCATGCAGCGCATGACAACCGCCCCTGTTACCCTCTCCACCGGCCACACCATCCCCACCAACACCCGCCTCGCCTTCGCCTCCCAAGCCATCCACCGTTCCACCCGGACCACCACCTTCTCACCTGAATACAACCCTGCCTCCTACGCCCCGCCCTCCGTCTTCGACGGCCTGCGTTTCTACAAGCTGCGCGAGATGCCTGGCAAGGAGAACCGCCACCAGTTCGTCACAACAGGCGAGGATAATTTGTCCTTCGGACACGGGACCCATGCGTGTCCTGGGAGGTTCTTTGCTAGTAATGAGATTAAGGTTGTGCTCATTGAGTTTTTGAGGAATTGGGATGTGAGGTTGAAGGGGGATACGGAGAGGAAGGGGGGAGATAGGCCGTCGAACTTGATTAAGGATAGTGCGTGTGTGCCAAATATGGAGGCGGTGTTGGAGTTTAGGAGGTTGAAGAGCGAGGAGTGCGTGTAGGCGGGGGATGTTTGGATAAGTTTGGATTTGGTAAAAGGATGGCTTGATGGGGAATGGTTTGTACCGCGCGATTTACGTAGGGATGGAGATATGGGAATCTACGTATGTCGAAGCTGATCTACTTAGCATTTCTATTTAAACGATGCAACGAAATTGATGGAAGTTTTCCGCACAGTATCTCCTGGTTTTGAAACCTGCATTGCTTCACTTTCACCGTTGTGACGACATATTTAAGTGATCACTATTTTATTTCTAAATAAAACGGACTTGCAACTTCCATGGACTCGTAACCGTCTACATCTACAGTACCATCTAACCCTAAATACGATTCTCCTTGCCGTTGATGACGAACACAGCTACGTCCACATGCGCCTTTCCTCCGCCAATACGCGTACAGTCGCCGCGAGTAACTGCGACAGGAGTTCGAGGGAATTCCTCACATCAGCAACCTAAACTACTAAGAGCAATACCGCAGCGACGCGCGTAGGATTTCGAGGCACAAACTTTCTACCAGGATAACCAGGAGACAAATGCGGCAAGCTGCAGCGGCATTGGACGTCTCTCTCGCCCATTAGGAAGCTGCATGTTAGCCACCAACCGAATTTTCGCTGATGGAAAATATATTAATGGATTTCTATCCGGAACAGGTGGTATTCTTATATATCATATCTCGTATAACAGCCCATACATGCCATACCTGGCCAGGCCGTGTGTATCCTATCCCATTAACGCCGCCGACCCGATTGTCTGTATCGTAACGACCAAGCAGCCCGTTTTCAGCCTCCAATCAATGGCCCTCGTAGCTCGTGGTGTACCGCCCTATCGCCAAGCTACCTAGGAAAACGCCGGCGAGGACGGAGAGGAAATATCCCACGTTCATCGTCATAACCGCCAACATTCTGTGATCCGTTAGCATCAACCCACAATCAGGAGTAGGAGTGTCACATACAGCAAGTATCCCATGCCGGCAATAACCGTATCTACCACCGCCCTCAACGGATCAACGCTAACTCTCCACGGACTTGTCATCTCCCCCTTCCGCTGCACGACCACCACCTCCTCTTCCACCCCATTCTCACTAAGCACCACAGCCTTCGCATCCTTATGCAGCGCAACCCTCTCCCTCAGACCCGGCTTCCCCGCAACAGCGACATAGCGGCGGTGCATCTCACAATCGAGCCAGCGCGCCTCCTGGCGTGCCTTGAGCGCCAACAGGACCCGGAAGAGGACCGCGAAAACGATGAGGAAGATGCAGGTCCCTGCGTAAGAGCCGGTGCCTGTGGGAGTCCAGGCAGTGCTGAAGAGGGGTGTAGAGGGGTTGTTTTGGAAGGTCATGACCATGGACATGCCGGAGGAGGAGCCGTGGGAGGAGCCGTGGGAGGAGCCGTGGGACATGTCCATGCCGGACATGTCGTCGCCGGAGGTGGGGGTGCTGGTAGCGAAGGGGTTGTCCGCCATTGTCGCTGATTTCCTGTGGGTTGAATTGGAAGATTCGGTCTATCGATTCCTGCTGCGACTTTGCTGCTTCGTCTGAGTTATTCAAACAACCATCCGATCCAGTAACCACCAGCTTTCCAAGAGTCCACCGTTCCTTATAAAGCCGCCGTGAGCAAGATTCGCTCCAAAACGTGCTCAACCTGTTTATGCAGGAAGGGGTGCAGAAAAGTCTAATAACCGTACGAGCAGAATATAATGAGAGAGAAGGAGAAAAGGAAAAGGTGAGACAATAAACCCGCTCCCCTGACCACAACCTACCTTCGTGGGACCGGCGGCCATGGCGCCGTCCCTTGGCTACGCTACCCTTACGTCTTCGTGCGCGGCGGTTGAGCCTGAAGGTGTATCTATCTCTCGCAAATGTGCTCACTTAGTAGCCAATGGGAGGAGAGGGATTGATTGGATGGGCGAGGCGTGCCTCAGGGCGGGATTTTGGCCGCGGGTGCGCGCCAAGTGGGAGCCGCAGGGCTTGGCGCGAGTAGCGGCGTAGCGGAAGCAGAGAAGGCTTATATCAAAAGCACCGGAATCTTATAATTGATACGAAAGGAGCGATTGGTATGAAGGTTACCATGAATAAGGAAAGGGCGAGTGACACAGTTAGAAGTCTCAACATTTTAATTAGAAGTCTCGTTGGGGCAGCAGGTGAGGCAAGTATGTATAACTATCATTCTTGATCATAGGATATATTTCAAACTATTTTAAATAATTCCCAAGAGCACATCATCTCCATCTCCTATCAAGACTGTTCCTACAGATATCATCGCTGGAAAGCAGGTCATAAACAAATACAGACGCGCCCGATAGTCCCCACGCGTCATCACGATGCGGGTAACAATCTACAACTTGGAAGCTGGCGATCCCGTGCCCACGCTGGTGATCTCGTTGTAGAGCAACGAGGTCAAGAAGTCGGCGTAGTCCTCACCAGTGACCTGGCCAGCGAAGTACTGTGCCGCGAGGTGGTACTTGTTGCCCTTCTGTGCCTTGGAGGCCAGCTCCTCGGTCTGCTCCTTGAGAAGCTTGAGCGCGTACGCCTTGTCAACCTTCTTGCCATCAGCGGTGGAGACACCGTGGCGAACCCACTGCCAAAGCTGACTGCGGCTGACCTCAGCGGTAGCGGCATCCTCCATCAGGTAGTTGATAGGGATACAGCCAACGCCGCGGAGCCATCCCTCCATGTATCCGAGACCGATGTTCAGGTTCTTGCGGATACCTCCCTCGGTGATTTGGCCGGGGACGTTCATGTTGAGCAAGTCGTTGGCGGTGATCTTGACATCCTCGCGGCGGACGAAGTACTGGTTAGGTGTGGGCATGTGCTTGTTGAAGACCTCGGATGCGATGGATGCGAGGGCTGGGTGAGCAACCCAGGTTCCGTCGTGGCCGGCCTTGACCTCGCGGAGCTTGTCGGCGTAGACACCCTCCATGGCTTTGTCGTTGGCGGCCTTGTCGTCCTTGATGGGGATCTGGGCGGCCATTCCTCCCATGGCGGCGACCTGGCGCTTGTGGCAGGTCTGGATGAGGAGCTTGACGTAGGCGTCCATGAATGGGACAGTCATTGTGACGGCCGAACGGTCTGGGAGGATGAAGTTGGGGTTCTGGCGGAACTTCTTGATCACACTGAAGATGTAATCCCAACGTCCGCAGTTAAGTCCGGAGCTGTGATCCCTCAACTCGAAGATGATCTCGTCCATCTCGAAGGCGGCCAGGATGGTCTCGATAAGGACGGTACCACGGATGGTGCCTCTTGCCATGCCGATCTTGTCTTGGGCAAGATTGAAGACGTCGTTCCACAGACGGGCCTCGAGGTGAGACTCCATCTTTGGGAGGTAGAAGTATGGTCCATGGCCACGCTTGACGAGCTCCTTGGCGTTGTGGAAGAAGTAAAGACCGAAGTCGAAGAGCGATCCCGAGATCGGCTCGCCGTCAACGGTGAAGTGCTTCTCCTCCAGGTGCCATCCTCTCGGCCTGACAATCAGAGTTGGCAGGGCGCGGTCTGTGCGGAGCTTGTACTCCTTTCCGCCGAGCTTGAAGTCCACCTGTCTGCGGATGGCATCGTAGAGGTTAACCTGGCCACCGATCATGTTGGCCCAGGTTGGGGCGCTGGAATCTGAGAACAAAGCATGTCAGTCTCGCAACTTGGAATTGGGAATATCTGGGACCACATACCTTCCAAATCGGCCATATAAGTCCAGACATTCGAGTTTAAGGCGTTGATGATCATTTTCCTGTCAGTTGGGCCAGTGATCTCGACTCTGCGGTCAGCCAACCCTGGTGCTGGTACTGCTGCCCTCCACGTCGCATCGTCTCTGATGTGCTTGGTCTCTGGGAGGAAATCTGGGAGGGCGCCTCTGTCAAGCTCTGCTTGCCTGATCACACGGCGGTGGAGAAGCTCTTTCCTCCTTGGGTCGAAGGATCTGTGGAGGAGGGCAAGGAAAGCGATAGCATCCTTGGTGAGAATCTTCTTGTAGGACTCGTTGATGGCGCCAGTGATGTTGACACCCTGGATGATAGAATCAATGCTAGCCATCTTTGCGAAAATATCTGTATAGATTTGCGGTGATGAAGTTTATGGTATACCTGGGCGGGGAAGGGCAAGATATATGAGGGGAAACTCGATGCATATATGGGGAGAGTGACTTGGAGAACGGGTGAGGAAGTCCGCGAGCCTCCGGTACCAAAATGGTGACGATTTTGACATTACTGCTATTTGAGTGGCTACAGTGGTACAAAAGAGGTAACGGCTACTTGATATTCGGCATCTTTTGAAAATCTACAGTATACACCACTCATGTCCGCCCATGTCTCCGAGCGTAGACGGAGGGGCCCAGGTCTTTGCAGACATCGGATTCGCTTGTGATAGTGTGGGGAAGCTCAATTGGAGGCGGCTTCGGCTTGCAACTTTGCAATCATCACAGTTGGAGTCCTGCGCTACGTCATAAGATAGCTGATAACTACCCATGCATGCATCAGTTCTACGTAGAAGCCGATCTGCAATACACCATTTCTGATAGAATCGTGAGTTTCTCCAGGCGCAACAATGAACGATATGTTGAAGATTCTGTATATCTACAATTTAGATACACCTGCCCTTGTCCCTTGAATGACGATAGGATCGTTATCGGCCGGGATCCGTACCTCGGCACCCTCCAACCTTATCGTAAGACCGATTTTCTCCGATGCCAACCTATCCCAGACCCCGTGATATACCGAGGCATAATTGTTAGTCACATCATGTGATGCAAGTCATGTGTATACATGGTGACTAATTAATGAGTAATCATGAAATACAGTCATGTGACTTAACGGGGTTTGAAATTTGGAAACCCTATCAACCGAACCAAGAAGGAGCGTTAAGCGAGAGGCGAGCAGAGAGAGTCACTGGAACCTCGACGACGACAACTTTCCATCGCAACGCCATCAACAGTCGATCTCATCCACGAAATCGATAAACCGCCATCATGGGAAAAGTCCACGGATCCCTCGCACGTGCCGGAAAGGTCAAGTCTCAGACACCAAAGGTACGATGATCTCTGAAACTGCGTTGCTTTGGAGGATGGAAAGAGGGTTGGGAGGAGCGAAAAGCTCGCTCGAAGGGCTCAATCGACGACGAGTTTTCTGTGACAACGGGAAACGTCAGCGATTTGAGCGCGACGACTTTGGGAGCTTCGACGATATTATGGATGGACTACGACGCGAATATTCGAACCGGACGCTGATATTCTACGATAGGTCGAGCCGCAAGAGAAGAAGAAGACCCCTAAGGGCCGCGCCAAGAAGCGCATTCAGTACACCCGCCGTTTCGTCAACGTCACCCTCACCGGAGGAAAGAGGAAGGTTTGTCAAACCTCTGTCCTTGAGACCACGAACCCAAATACTGACCTACGCGCAGATGAACCCCAACCCAACTGCCTAAACGACCAGCCATGGACGGGACGGGATAGCTGGGAAAGTCTTGCACACGGAAATTGTGGAGGATGTGCCCGGATCAGATGGACGGTGGTTTTAGGAGTGGAGTTTTGTCTCTCCTGGATGGCGCCGATTGTCTGTGGAGGATGGGACGCATACCATAGGCGCATTTGTACATCGGACGAATCGTTCTTGCTTCTGCTTGACAATGACATTGAGCTCCCTCCATTTTTCGGGTTTCTAATTTACACTGGAGACCGTGATGAAATCATGTGCGATGAGTAACCTACGATAACCAGTTACGTTTTGAGGCTATCTTCTTTCATTTCTATGATACTGGACTTTCAGGCCCTAAGAGCCAATGTATGGCTTTCAATATGTAGTGTATACCTGGGGCAGGCACGCCCATCACCTCCCCATTCCGTAGTTCCAGCGTTGGCTGTCATGCCAGCCAAACCAACGTCCCCTTTACAATCCAGTGGCTGAGCCAGTTGGGTGGCTTTGAGCAGTACCTTTGTGGCACACTCTTTTGTCAGCCTGGCACTAATCTTCTACACAGCTGACTGAGAATGCTGACTGGCTTCCATCAGTCTTCGCCGTAAGACTCATACGATGACTCCTTCGGGCAACCTTGCGGGGGTCAACCTCCGTGGGGATCTCATAGCTGGCGCGGCCGATAATCGGGCAGTAATCATATTTCCCGGGTTTGATTCAGTATCAAACGCCACCCTTGGCATACTTTCAACCGACTTGAGTCGTAGCTTTAGACACCCGGTTCGGTCGCCGCGGTTGCCTCTCCGCATTGACGGGGAATCGCTTCTTGCAGCCACAGTTGCCGCACGTCCGTACCAGCACATCGGCCCAGGGCTTCCTTCCATTCTTGCTCTTGTTTTCGATCTTTGTCACGCAGGTTGAGCCGTCTTGTAACAGTGCGTCACAGCGTTTGCATATCGTGTGTTTCATGCCTGGAGATAGGCGGATCTGCATTTTCATCGAGACAGTGCGGAGGTCTGAAAGTAGCACTCTCGTGAGAAATTGAGAAGAGGCTGGCTGGGGCTCAGCCGGTACTTGGTTGTGACCGCTTTCATCGCCGGCATTTTGTAGGTGGGGTTGAGAGGGAACTGGTGGAGGGGTAGGAATAGCTGGAGCTGTGGAAGTTTTCTCCTGGGCTGATAGATAGGTCGCCGCCTGGTATAAATAAGACAACCTGCTATGCAAAGCCTTGTGAGGCACGTTGGCACCCTTTGCCTGCTTTGCTTTGGCCATGATATGTCTCCAATCATATAAGAGAATCTCCAAAGTTCCCTCATTGATATAAATTACAACGTGCCAAGTTGAGCCGCATCCGAGCTAGCTGTGCCTGGCTTAGCGCGTTAGCGCACAATTCGAATCGGTTTGCCTGTCAGAACATGTCCTCTGGCAACATCAATAACAACCTCACCTGAATTCATTCTATCGAATTCGAACCTCGACCACTTTATAGATCGGTACCATCGACATCAATTTCGCGTCATAGAACATACATCACCCATAACTGGCATAGCAGTTTCGCATACCGCTTTGTTCCAAGACCTTCCATAGAGGTCGCGAGTGACATCGAAACCAACTTTGCCACACCTTCAACTCCGATCATAACCAGCACACATCATGTCTACCGAAGAAGATCTCATCGATTACTCCGATGATGAGCTTGAGACAAAGACCACAGCGCCAGCTGCTGGTGCAGGAAATGGAGAGGCCAAGGAGGGCGATCTGACCGTATCTGGAGGTAACCCTGACAAGAAGGGATCATACGTCGGCATCCACGCGACCGGTTTCCGCGACTTCCTGCTGAAGCCAGAGCTTCTCCGGGCCATCACTGATTGCGGTTTCGAGCATCCATCGGAGGGTTAGTTTTTCACCCCTAAGCTTCGTCGTTACCCTTCTTGAACCGTCCGTCCGTCCATCTCGCAAGCAAAAAGAACAACCAAATCACGCTGGAGGAGCGTCCAACAACACGAGTGATCCTGGATGTCTCTGCCAATGGCCTATCTCAAATTCTTGAGAATCTTTCCGAGGTTTTCTCGAAAGAAAACTTGGGGGTTGCATGAGCAACGTGCGGATGGAGAGTGTCGTGGTGGGAGATATAAAACTGGCATCACGAAGAGACTCCAGGATCGACTTGCTTGCGAATTTATGACTTCCAAGGGATATTTATATTTGAGCGAAATCTCAGGATATCATATATCCCGACTATGGCATGAACAGATCGAGCCCCGATGAGGCCGTCGCGAACGTTAAGCTTTGTCTATTTGGTGATGCTGCGATGATGGACGGACGCTGCGATCGTACACATCCTACTCAATTTGAGAAAACTATATCTGACTCGGCCCGCTTTATTCTACAGTCCAGCAAGTGTGTATTCCTCAGGCAATTCTCGGAACCGACGTTCTCTGCCAGGCCAAATCCGGTCTTGGTAAGACTGCCGTCTTTGTCCTGACCACCCTTCAACAAGTTGAGCCGGTGTCCGGAGAGTGCTCCGTTCTCGTTATGTGCCACACTCGCGAGTTGGCCTACCAGATCAAGAACGAATACGCCAGATTCAGCAAGTATATGCCAGAGGTCAAGACCGCTGTCTTCTACGGTGGAACCCCGATCCAGAAGGATGCCGAGATCCTGAAGAACAAGGACACCCACCCGCACATCATCGTCGCCACCCCCGGTCGTTTGAATGCCTTAGTCCGTGACAAGCACCTCCGCCTCGGAAGCGTCAAGGTCTTCGTCCTCGATGAGTGTGACAAGATGCTCGATCAGATTGGTATGGTATATTTCCGCACATAAGGTCAGAAGGTACTGACTCCCATTCCAGACATGCGCCGCGACGTCCAGGAGATCTTCCGCGCCACGCCAACCCAGAAGCAAGTCATGATGTTCAGCGCCACCCTGTCCCAGGAAGTCCGCCCGATCTGCAAGAAGTTCATGCAGAACCCTCTTGAGATTTACGTTGATGACGACACCAAGCTTACCCTGCACGGCCTTCAGCAGTACTACATCAAGCTTGATGAGAAGGAGAAGAACCGCAAGCTCAATGAGCTTCTTGACGATATGCAGTTTAACCAGGTCATCATCTTTGTCAAGAGCACCCTGCGCGCCACTGAGCTCGACAAGCTCCTCCGCGAGTGTAACTTCCCGTCTATCGCAGTTCACTCTGGTGTTAGCCAAGAAGAGCGGTTTGTACTTTCTAGCCCGTTTATCCTTTATGCATCTAACAATACCCTAGTATCAAGCGCTACACGGAGTTCAAGGAGTTCAACAAGCGTATCTGTGTCGCTACCGACGTCTTCGGACGTGGTATTGATATCGAGCGTATCAACCTTGCCATCAACTACGATCTACCCGGTGACGCCGACTCCTACCTCCATCGTGTCGGTCGTGCTGGTCGTTTCGGATCCAAGGGTGTCTCTATCTCCTTCGTGAGCAGCGAGCCCGACCAGCAGGTCCTGAAGGATATTGAGAAGCGCTTCGAGGTTGCACTTCCGTAAGTTGCACCCTCCTAGTGAAATTTATATGTGAACGAAATTCTAACCCCTTACAGTGAGTTCCCAGAGGGCGGTATCGATGCCAGCACCTACATGGCGAGTTAGATGCACAACCCCGCATTTTTCCCGTCGGGCCTCTCTCAACTCTTGCAAAGTCCCCTATCTCGCGCTCTCAGCACCTACCGCTTGAGCGCCAAAGGGATGGGTAGCCACGCAGTTTTAGGGGCCCTAGTTAGCCTAGTGACGGACCCGGAGTAGGAAGTTTTTACGCGCTGGCAACTTTTGTGTTTTTTTTATGGGACTACTACTGGATGGACTGGGCGAGGGGGTAAATTTCTTGTCTTGTCTTGTCTTGTGTCTTACCAAGATATTAAAAAAAAACTTGTGATTCTTTTTTTGAAAGCCGTGTTTGCCGGTGTCGTGAATAACGCGTGGTTTAAGTGATGTGATGACAGGAGGGCGCATCAATGCACCCAGTTCTCGTGTGGCTTGGCTGCGTTGAGTGATCTACGCCAGGTAAATCAAGTGAAGAATGGTCTGGAGAGAAAAGGAGTTTGGTGAGGGACGAAGTGAGGATACTTATAGGGCCATGATGAATGAGCATTGTCATCTTGAAATGAGGATTGGATTGAATATAGCGGTGATGAGGGTTTGATGATGAATAATAGTCCTGCTGTTCGGATATAAAGAATTTCCATGAGACCAAGGAGGTGAACAATGGAATAAGTAGCAACGAAGTCTTTATCTGTATTCGAGTGTTGTTGAACAACGAATGGCTTTGAATGGCCTTATGTGCACTTGAGCCTCATAGAACAATGAATCCCTTTGTGCGTATTCGAGCCTCGACGAATGATGGCTTTGTGTGCATTCCATGCTTACCCCTGCCAAATCCATCCGCATCCGCATCCGCATCCGCATCACATCACACCCCCCAACCACCAAGCGAAGACAACCCCCCTCTTATAAACCAACTTAACCCCTCATTAGAATCACCTCTTAGCTTAGTACGAGGACTTAGGATTGCTAGACAATTAGGTGATTATACTAAGTAAGAATGGGTAGACTTTAAATTTAACTAGATATAAGTAGATTTAACACTTTAATTAACATACTAACACTTGTACGATTAGAACCTATTGCCTTCTTATTCTTAACGAACATAAGAGCCATGTAATGCTACTTCCTAAATGATAGGATGCATAGAGGTTTATTATGTAAAGGTTTAACTTAACAGAGGAGGCGGGGGATTAGACACAAAGGCTTTCTAAGTAACACGTTATAGTATTGTAAAGAATACTATATTAAGTTGAGCACGAAGCTCCTATCTAAGAACTAACTATCTACTTATATAGTAGTGTTGTGCTAAATGGATCTTATACTAGATCATACTATTATCATAAGCCATCATGACTCTCCTCAATCCCCTATGATCCCATGACCTAGATCATCCTAGTTTATAGAAACTCTATGATCCTTTATAAGTCTCCTTAATCCTCATGATCCTATGTAACCTAGATCATCCTAGATTATGGAAACTCTATGATCCTTCCCCTAATGTTACGCTAATAGTAGGGCGAGCTGTAACAAGCCACCTCTTAGCTCAATTTCAACACTACTATATAGAACAGAAGATAATCACTCTCTATATGCTACCATACTCCTCGTACATCCTTTAGCCTCTTGATGTTAGCTGCTTTACAATAACACTGGTGCTTCAATTGGTATGGGAAAGCAGATCGCGCTGGCGTTAGCTGAGAAGGGTCAAATTTATTTTATTCTCTAGAACAGAAGTGAGCAGCCATGCCAATTTACCAAACTAACACTCTCACACAAAATAGTCTAAACTAGCGGACCTTTCGGAAAGTATCAAAAGCAAGTACTATGCTTCTGTGGACATTCAGGACTACGAAGGTGTCAAGGCGGGAGTAAAGAATGCAATCAAGGAGATGGGTGACATTGATATTTTAAAAACGTAAAATGTCGAACGCAATCTAAGTGATCAAACCTTCACTAACAGGCCGGTCTTGCGCTCGGAGCCCCAGCAGCCTTCCAAGACCTTTCAATTTCAGACATCTTACAGATGAACAACAGGAACATAAACGGGATGATGTTCATGACATACGCTGTACTTAACGACTCCTTTATGAAAAAGGCTGGCACCATCCTTAACATTTCCTCTAACACAGTTTTTGATCGAGAATGGAACGGAAGGCAAGAAGAGAATTGAAGTAGTGCCTATAATAGGATGTAGCAAAGGTTCCTATGTTTTATACTCTTGACATGTCTATTAATATACTCTACTTTAAATATATAAATCTAATTGGCCTAAGTCGATTGTGGCATATGTAACCAAGGCCGCATCGTCCATCCATCCTTATACCTTCATGCTCCCTCACCCCCGCCAAATCTCCAAAGGCTCGATACATGCACAGTCCCATCCTATCCCAACAATTTTACACCGCACATGGAAACCACACCAAGGCGGTCATTGAGGTTAAGAAACCTCGAGGCGAAACGAGCAGACGCAGAACTGCAACGCCCCCAAACATCCCAGGCGCGCCAACCCAGTAACCACCATCCCCCTTCCACCAAACCAGCGTCAAAAACTACTAGACCTCCCCGCCGAGATTCGAGTCCTCATATTCTCCCACATAATCACCACAAAGCGCACCTTCCTAATCGGCAGATGCCAAGAAGAGCGCCGCCGCAAAACCGAAGGCAGTCCCCGCGACGCCACCGCCTACCCACAAAGCAACTTCAACGACCGCCGAAGCCGCCCCAAACAGCCCGCGCGTCTGCCGCAAGTTTCGCAAGGAGGCCCTGCCGTTGTGGATAGCGCGAACCGCTTCTTGTTGATCCACAACGAGTTCGAAGTAGACGACGCGGTCGCGAATCCGGTTAGGGGATTCGTTGCGTGGATTTCCCAGACTCCCCGGCGGCTGTTCGTTTTCATGGAGCACATTTCACTGTGTGGCTATGCAGCCTGGCCGAATCGGATTCTGATTACCCTCGATCTAAAGAATAAGCGGGTGGTTGAGATGAGGCATTATTCGATCTATGGCCACGAACTCCCGATCTACCAACAGAGTTTCATCGATTCGACCGTGCAAGCTCTGGATAGTAAGGCGGATGAAGACGGGTTTGTGGCGCTCCAGGCTGTGCTGGTGGAGCAGGATGGGATCTTCCGGATTTCAAAACAGCATGTGTCATCGCCGCCGGGAAGGTTGAAGAGGACGCCGCCGGCGGTTGGCTGGGAGTATGTTTGGTAGATAGGGCTGGTTGAGGGTTTGAGAAACTTCAAGCTACCTAGCCTGAAGTTTCTCAAACCCTCAACCAGTGATGAAAGTTATTTTTAGAAATTTTGTGCTGGTGTAGACTATCCATCACGTAGACAACACTTCACTCCCTATCCAACGTCACTTCCTCCCCATCCCCAATCCCCTTGTCTCCCCCTTGTCTAGCCATTCCAGGGACGCCGCCGTCCCCCTCACCACCAGAGTCATCAATGCCACACCCGTACCCCTCACCCACCCACCCCGGCACTCTCCTCATCAGCCACAGCAACATCGCGCGCCTCTACGGCTTCGAAGCTCGTCTGCGTGTCGGCGTGAGGCGGTCGTGAGAGTGAGCTGACTTGCCCGATAGTATTGCAGCAATTGCTATTGTTGGCCGCCTGTCGCAGATGATTCGACAGGATAGATCGATAGTATTTTGGTTTCGTTGTATTCTTCCCTGCTGAATCAATGGGCTCGGTCGTTAACAGAGAAGGGAGGCAGCACATACACTCACACCCAGTCACATCACATTCATTATTTTGCAAATTCACACAAAGCACAACACAGCGCAGCACAAAACATCACTCCTTTTTCATCCCCCCATCTACCCCTATCATCCCCTCACTCGCACCCACCCACCCATACAAAAGTCCCCCCCACACAACCCACACGCCCCATCCATCCCCCAAACCCCACCCATACCATCCCACAACACCACCCATCCCACAACACCCAAACAAAAGAGAGTTTCCGTTTCCAGTAATAAAAAAAGTAATAAAAAAGATGAACACAAGGACGGTAATAGTAGTAGTAGTAGTAGCGTAGTAGTAGTAAGGCGGGTGTAATAAAAAAGAGGGATCTGTATACCTCCCCACCTTCCTTCCCAGCACAAAAAAAAAAAAAAAAAACACAAAACACGAAAAAAGGATGTCGAAAAAAACGACAGAACGCCGCGGAACCATGCAGAAATGCCCAATGACAATTAGACGTATTACCAAGTCCACCCCGGTCCGGTATAGATAACCCCCATCCCAGCCCCGCCATTCAAATCCTCCCTCGAGAGAAGGAAAAAAGAAGCCAACATCCGTCCGTCCGCGTGGTGCCCTTATATCGAGCATATATGCGCGCGTCCGTCTGCCGGCAGTCCCCCCCAGTCGAGATAAAATCGAATCTCTATAGTAAAAAAAAAAAAGAAGCCCAATATTCATTATTAAACCACGCAGCCAGTAATCGTGATTAAAGCGCCCCCTTCCCGTGACCCTCGCCTCGCTGGGTCGAGTTGGTGAAAAAAGGTTTTGGTGTGCGAAGAGTAGTAGTAGTAGTTTTCGATGACTTGAGTATATGTATTGCGTTATAATCGGGTAAAGCAGTCATGGTCTGGTGGTGTGTGCCGTTCTCGTGTTGCTAAAGGGAGGCCCCTTGCCTGGCTGACAGGCGCTTTCGTCACCGCGCCGTCTCCATGTCTACCCTCCCCCATCACCACGCTTGGCGCGGCCGGGTCTCCACCCCGGGAGACCCCCGAACCAGCTCACCGTACCCCAACGGGGAATCGCGGCCCGAGACTGCTCTGGCTGCTGTGTGCCGAATTCTCGGAGTCGATGTGTGCACTATCACCACTCCCCGCGCTGGCGCTCGCACTACCAGTCAGACTTCGGTTGTTTACGGGCCCTTTGGGCAGGTGGAGGGCGCTCACCCCTGCATGCTGCTCGACTTGCTGCGGCGCAACCGTATTGCCCTGTCCTGGTGGGTACTGTGGTATCGGCTGCCTCATGCCTCCAGGTGGAGATGGGCGGCCATTAGGTGGGTATCCCATGTGTCCGTTGGGTGGCGAGGGTCGGCCGTTGCCGCGGCCGAGTTGCGGGCTGTAGGGGTTTCCAGGGGATTGGCTTGTCCGGCGAGGGAAGGGTCCGTTCATGTGGCCGCCGCCAAACTGCAGTTCATCGAGTCGTGCTGACGTTAATGAGGCGGCTCTTGAATCCTGTCCTAGCGATTGGCGATCTACATTACCGTAGCGGTTCGACGAGTAGCCCATCAGCGGGTCGTCCATAATGGAGTCGTGCGTGCCGGGTAAGCTGCCGATTAACCTGGCGCTAGATCGGTTCCTGCTGGATTGCATGGGCCTCTGGCCGTATCCCCTCCTGGAGTCGCCTTCGGGATTGCTGCGCATCTTGCTCTGGTTGATGCTAGGCGCCTTGCGGTTGCGTCGCGAGGTGACGCTCATCATGTCGAAGTTGTCCGGGTCGATAAGCGGTGGTGCAGGACGGCTAGTCGGGTCGAAGTACTCGTCATCGTCGTCGTCGTCATCGTCGAAGCCGCCATTCCGGATGGATGGGGTTGCGCCGCCTCTTCTGGGTCCTGGTGGTGGTCCACGCCTCATGCGCATCTCTTGTTCCCTCATGTTAATCTCGCGCTGTCTGAATATCAGTTCACGCTCGCGAAGCGCCATATCGTCACCCATGTTGTTGGAAGCGCCTTCTGGGATGTCGTCGTAGAGCACAACATGGCTGAAGTCGTCCGCCAGCTCATTATCAATAGACCCGCGTCTCGACTGTTGGCGAGATCCATAGCCATTCGGAGGCGGCCGTCCGTAGCCGTTTGGAGCGCCGTTCATTGGTCCTCCACGTCTCATTCCAGGTGGTGGTCCCATCGATGGAGCCCTTCCTCGTCCTCTGCCCATCCCGTTCATCATTCCATTGGGAGCACCATTAGGTCCGTTCATCGGTCGTGGCGTCGGGGCTGACGATAACCGTGTCGGAAACTGGCCATTCCCGTTCAGAGCAGGGGTCACTGCGGCTTCCTTGGGCTTCTGTTGGTTCACGATGTTGACGCTGTGCAACAGCGCGTACAACGTTTCGATTCGGGGCACCTTCAGGCCAACCGCCTGTGCAAGTTTGATAGGCGACCCCAAGTAAGTTTCGACCTCCATCGGTCTCCTCGCCATGAAATCCTGGTACATGATGCTATTCGACTCGGATGGCCGGACCATTTCTTCGAGGGTCTTTTCCGGGAATCCTTTCAGGAAAGTGCACCCCTGTGCTTCGGCTATGCGTAGTAGTTCGTCCATCACATCCTTGATCATCGGCAAGACAGCCGTCTTCTCGAGCAGAGCGGCGTGGGACGGAGTCTCCATGAGAACACTCAGTGGGTGGAAAGCTATCGGTCTAGAAAATAGTTAGCGTGCGTTTCTCATAGGAACTGTGATATCCATACCCGATCATTCGGTCATACTGCTGTTGGCGGATGTTGCGCGACACCTTGCAGTCCACTTGTCCGGTGCTCAGCGTCATTGCAAGCGCCTCAGCCATGTCCTGTTGTATCGACGCCGGTATAGCTGCGTTCTTATTCGCAGCGCCCACCCAGACCTCTGTGGATGCCTTGTGCTCGAATTCACTGACGCCAAGCTGTGTGAGTTCCGCGCCGGATACCAGGGATAGGACAACGTTAGTCGGGAACCGCTGTTCGAGATGCGCCTCGACGCCGAGAGTGTGTGTCGTGTTGACGAGAATGCAGGTGTGTTGAGGAGTGACCACCGACTCAATTACAGCCGCGAGGTCGTAAATATCGGGAAGGGCCTTGACACAAAGTAGAACGTAATCGAAAGCACCCTCTTTGCTGGCCGCAGCTTCTTCTGGTGTCCGGACAACTGGGGATTAAAGTCAGCGGCGATTCGAAGAAGCTGGCAGATCGAACTTACCATGCCGCGGCTTGAATCGCTCGTTACCAAACGCTGTCGATCTGAAGGCAAGCTGTCAGTATTCATGGTTTGACATTGACGAATTGTCCATCCAGAAACTCACTTGAATGAAATGCCGTATTGAGAGACCATATCGAAACCCGACTTCCATACCAACGTCACATCGCAAGCGTTGGTTGCTTGAAGCCTCCACGAGAGGAAGGCCGACACTGCATTTCCGCCCACTACACAGACTTCCATTAGCATTGCGTCGCCCATCTTTGACAGTTCATCGGCAGACGCGCAGGTGAGTCGGAGAGCAACAGGGACGGGAAGTTTTAAAAAAGCGAAGGTAGGAAGCGTAGTTGCATTTGTCCTAACTTGGAGGTACGGGACAGAGTAGGCGGGACCGGGGTTGAGGGTTGGGGGCAGATGAAGAACAGTATGGGAGATCAATTGGGTTAGAGAGATAGACGGACCTGAGAGGATCCTCAGTCGAGAAGCTGTCGGAGCCATCTTGCCCAAATGGGAGAAGTCGGCGCACTATTCCCAGCACGACAGATGTGGCAGCTGGAAGGAGGCTTCGGTGCCAATGGCGCCAGTTCACGCGCGCACACGGACGCTGTGTTGTAACTTGACGCGAGCTACGATAGTATAAGTTCGGTGGATATTGAGGCGTGTTGGGCGCTTGCTTTTGTGACGGGATATCTGACCTGCACTGTATGCAGCAAGGGCAGGTATGTATTCGGGTCGGGGGGGGGGGGGGGGGGGGGGGGGGGGTTGGCCGTCGATGCGTGTATGTGCGTCGGTGCGGATGAGGATTGACGATGAGGGCTGGTAGGATCGTGATCGTGAGGCCGTTCGCGGAAAAAGGTTGGTATGTCTCTGGTCGGTGGTGGTGGTTGTTTGAATTTCGCAGGGCAAGATCAAAAACGAAGGTGATGTTTCTCTCTACCAATAGATATGAACGAGTGTCAGCAACTACTGCTGTGTGAATCTGTATTCACAACAGACAGCTGTTTGTAGTTGGTAAATTATTGGGGAGAACGGTGGTGGCTTTTTCGTGGTTGACGTGCCTAGGATGGATTGTTGAAGGAGATACAAAAGAGTGGATGACAATAACTTCGTTCCGTGTCGAAGGCGTTCGCGAGTGGCTTTCGAGGCTTGGCGGCGGGACTACAGATGGTACTTATTTTATGAATGAGATGGGAAATGGGATGGTAGGTATCTTTTGTATGTCGTGCTGTAGGGAAAGGTACTTTGGTGATTGGGGGGGGTTTGAGGTTGGTGGTGTGGATGGGGGAAGTACGAGTACGTAGCGATTTCCGATGAATTTTGTATACGAGGTGCATAAACATAAAAAGCTTTTTTAGGCAAAGAGTACTTGGGTTTATGGTGGTGAGGTGGTAGAAGAAGGAGGTATCTTTTAGTTGGTGATTCTCAGGCAAAGAGTACGTGGGTTTATGGTGGTGGGGTGGTAGAAGAAGGAGGTATCTTTTGGTTAGTGATTCTCAGGCAAAGAGTACTTGGGTTTATGGTGGTGGTGTAGTAGAAGAAGGAGGTATCTTTTGGTTAGTGATACCTGTGTCCAGGTTTATACTCTACTATATCCCCTGGGGGGATAGTATACCCACTGCCCTCCACTACTGTATTCAACACCAAAAAGTACCGCCCATCACCATCCATCACCGCCCATCACCGCCCATCACCGCCCATCACCGCCCATCACCGCCCATCACATCCCCAACAGCAACGGAAAGCACACCCCGTTGTACTTTCCCGTGAAGAAAGAACGCCCGACGATCCCAACAGCTGGAAAATAATGGAGCCCATGATGGGATGATCTGGGATGGACCTGATATGAAATCGTATCAACGCACTGCATGCGTGCCCCTTCTCCGTAGCAATGTCTCACTTCGTGGCTACCACCACCACCCGGTCACCGGTCACGGCTTTTTGTCTATGGCTGCTAACTGGCCTGTCTGGTCCAGCCGGTTTAGTTATGACATCACACACGCCATGCACCCAGCTAGTACATGACGGTCATCTGTATGGGAAAATCACAGAGTGCTTTCCACTACGGAGCTTAGGGGCAATCGCGAAACGGGTGGAGATGACGAAAACTGTCTTTGTCCAGTACAGGTTTTTGGAGCAAGAGCAGGCAAGAGCGGCCGGACCGGGGGGTGGCTGGAATGGAAGTACTCGAGTATCATACATAACTACTTGGACAACTGTACTCCGTAGTGAGTACCAGAAAAAACGACCCTAGCAACGCTGATAGCCAACGACCTAGATCGATCATCGAATCGCGTCGGCGAATCGATTGGGGATGGGCGTGGGCGATGGGCGTGGGCGATGGGCGTGGGCGATGGGCGATGCCGGTGCCAGGTAAGTCTTGAAACCGTAGTTTTGCTGTAGCTTTAGTATCCGTCGGCGAAATAGGTACGTACGTACGGCGGATATCTAGAGTGCCCACACGATGCTCTGGCCAGCCCTGACTAGGGCTCGCTCTACAGATATGCCCTCCCCCTCGAGATTCGCGCTCTGATATGGAAATCGACCGGAGAAGGGGATGATGGTCGGGCATCTAGTCTGGAGGCAGAGCGGCAGTTGGGGGAGCGGCAATTGGAAGATACTCGTAAGATGAGTAGAGCGGGTAAAGCGGGTAAGGCGGACATAATGAGCAGACTTTTGGACAATCCAACAGAGATACGGATAAGTATAGAAAGAATACGGAGTAGAAAGTATAGAAAAGCGTACAGGTATCCGCATGTACGAGTACCAAAACGCATGTTCAAATGAGGTAACCACATCAAAACGTGGAAAATAATCACTCAACCTCAACAAACATTCACTATCACAATCACCTTCTTTCTACATCTCGGTCATCACATCAACACTTCTATTATCCGAGAATAGACACAACCCTACGAGAAGTACGGAGTCTACATAAAACCCCCCCCTCTCACAAACAGGCGCCTGCAAAAGATATTCCTCTCTCGTGTCAATTCCCTCTAAACTGCCCATCATGACGTCCCCCCCCTCTCCCCCCCCTCTATCTCCCCCCATCTCCAATCCCCAATCCCTCCCCAATCCCTCCCCAATCCATCCCCAATCCCTCCCCAATCCCTCCCCAATCCCTCCCCAATCCATCCCCAATCCATCCCCAATCCATCCCCAATCCATCCCCAATCCATCCCCAATCCCTCCCCAATCATCCCTCCACATCCCCCCAATCTCCAATCTCCCACCACGCCAGGAACGCGTTCAACTTTCAACCCCCTGGGTCATAATCGCTAGTGTCGCGGTACGTACCCCGACGTACTTTGCTTGTGCCTTTCGCCACTAAAAACAAATTAATTTCCACATCCGCCGAAATGTGGAGGAAATAGGTCAGGAACAGGACATATTCATCTTACATAGTAGAACCGTAGCTGCCCTTCCCCAGCACACCCAACCACCACAACCACCACAACCACCACAACCACCACAACCACCACAACCACCACAACCACCACAACCACCACAACCACCACAACCACCACAACCACCACAACCACCACAACCACCACAACCACCACAACCACCACAACCACCACAACCACCACAACCACCACAACCGCCAAACCACCACAACCACCACAACCACCACAACCACCACAACCACCACAACCACCACAACCACCACAACCGCCAAACCACCACAACCACCACAACCACCACAACCGCCACAACCGCCAAACCACCACAACCGCCAAACCACCACAACCACCACAACCGCCACAACCGCCAACACACCCACCCACCACCTCGCCGCCTCCAAACTTGGCTCGCTCACCATCCACACCCCCCTACACACCTGCAAGCACCACCACCTCACCACAACCCCTGCCGAGCTGACGTCGTGCCGCGGAGCGGGGAGGGGTAGGGGGGTAGTGGTGGTTGTGCCAAGGCCAAGAGGTCTGGGTGTCGATCTTGGGTGGGCTGCTGGTTGTTGTGTGGGGATGGTGATGGGCATTGGTGATGGGCATTGGTGATGTGCATTGGTGATGGGCATTGATGTGTTCTGTGAGTTTGCCAGTATGCATGTGTGGAGATTGGGAATGCAGGATGGGTGGGTGAGTGACTGATGAGTGTCGTGGTAGAGTACTACTGGACTGTGAGATATGTCTCCCTACACTCCCTCCCCCTTTCCCACCCGCATCACCACCACCACCACCGGTTCTCCAGTATACCATACCGTAACACAAAAATCAAATACCATCCATCCTCCCCCCTACCTCCTATCCCCTACCTTTTCCCCTACCTCTTTCCCTACCTCTTCCCCTACCTCTTCCCCTACCTTTTCCCCTACCTCTTTCCCTACCTCTTCCCCTACCTCTTCCCCTACCATTTTTTTCCTAAAGAAGAAAAAGTGATCTCCCGTCAACTTGCCAGACGATTGATGGATGAACTGCCAAACAGATCACCAGGGGGGGGGTTGACCTATTCAAGGTCCTCGTCGGAGAATGGAAAGGGCCAAGACGGGATAGACGTTGTGGCATGTTGCTAGTGGGTGTTGATCTCCCTTCCTGGGGCCGGATATTGATGCTAAATGGGATGGGAGGGTGTTGGTCATGATTGAGGGTGGGATGGGATGGGAGGGTGTTGGTCATGATTGGGGGTGGGATGGGATGGAGGATAGGGGTAGTGGGGGTTTGAGACTGATGCTTTGGGGGGGGTTGCGTGTTTGTTGGTGTGGTTTGTTTTGGTTTTCTTTATTGTTATTTGTCTATACTGCGAGGAGAGGGGGTTTTCATGTAGGTGCTACAACTGTCTTTGTCAAAAGTTAAGTAAGATTTACTGCCATTGTCAAGCTCTCTACTTCTCGTTTTTCTCTCTCAGCTGGCTGCGTATAGTTTATCACCCCTTCTATCATCTTAGTAAGTGTGCTGTTAAAGAGCTTGCTCCATAACGTCAAATCTGAGTAAACTCAAAGGTTAACTTTCAATTTCTCTCAATATTTCAAATATATCTCCATTTTCCAATATTCCCATACACCAACACAAAACTCAAGCCCCCCCGAAAAAACCCCCCTTTGACAAAGCCACCATCCCTTCGGCCTTACTGCCCACCTCCACATCATTTCATATAGCCTCTACGTCACTGAAGACACTTCATCCAGCTCGAGGGCGCGGATTGGATGGTCCTGCGCGATGAGGATGTGGGTGCGTCTGGGGCAGGGGTTGAGGGTGTGGGAGTACAGCACTGTATAATCGCCAGTGCGAGTTAGAGACGGGGGGTCTGGTGGATGAGGCGCACAGGTCGCTGATACAGAGAGGTTGGAGGGAATTGGTATGGCTGACAAAGTTTATGAGACTGTCCATAGGGGGAAGAAGCCGAGGGCGAGCAAGGGGTGGATAGGAAGACGACGCTCAAGATTGATAGGGAGAGCCATGAAATTCTCCAAGCCGGGTACTGGTGCTGAAAAAATGGGAGAGTGGCCCTTGCATGCACATGAAAGTCGCAATACATTTATTTAAACGGGTCATCATTGGTGAAGATTTTATGGCAACGTTGTGAGATGAGTCTTGGGGTTGGGGAACACAAGTATATTGGGCTGGGGGGCCGGCGGGTTCGGTATATTCTGTTTGAAGTGTATTGCACGATTTAACGATATGATGATTTAATATTACGACAAAATGTAGCTAGATTCAGTGTTGCCCGAGTACTACTCAGAGTACTACTCAGAGATCTTCGAGTAGAGTACTGTTTTTTGGGCTCGAGTAGAGTAGTACTACGAGTACTACTCGAGTATAAAAATGAAAACATGATTGATAGCTATATAGACTACAGTAACTATGCATCCTCATCTTCCTCTGAATCCTCACCTGCTGATACCACGCCCCAATTCCTAAGACATATAAGATATCGTAGTGTAGATGGTGCTAATCTGTTCCGTTTCTTTGTAATAATATCTCCACCAACACTAAACACTCGCTCAGATTCCGCTGATGTAGCAGGAATTGCTAAATGATCTTTGGCAATTGCGGCAAGTATTGGATATTGGTATTGCTTACTTGCCCAAAACTTGAGTATATCAATTTTAGGCCCAAGAGTTGGCTCGTTCATCCAGCGCTTCCATTCTGGATCTAAATCTGGCTGCCGTTGTGAGACATATAGCTCATCCTCAGAATCAGACTCCGTCTTCTTAGAATTCTCATCTTCTAATTCCTCATCTTGGATACTTTCCATAACTGTTGAAGGAGGAGGTTGCTCAGACTGATTGGTTAGGCGTGTGGCTCGCCAACCGAATCGGGTTGCGGACCACCCACAAATAGTTCCGTAGATAGCTTCACTCAGAACAACAACAATACAAAAAACATATATTCAAGTGAACTGTTGTTCAACTCAACGTGATAACTATGCCGCTGCAGATACAGATACACCACTGATCTCAACAGGTTATGAGCCCGGCTATCGCAAAAGCCAAAAAAGTTATCATATTCAGAGAAGTGCTCATTACAGCACATACAATCTGAATTCGTGGACAAGCGCTAACATACAGCACATACACTCCACGAAAACCTCAAGACGAACTTGCAGCCTCTAGCAGATGATCGATTCAACTCAGCAAGAAGAGGAAGAAGAAGATCAATTCTACAATCTAGGAAGCCCCAGATCGAATTCATCATCCATCATCCAACTCTCACAAACTCGAAATTCCTTATCCAAACACACAAGACCTTTCACAATGGGTGAAGGCAATGGAGGTCGGAATAACCTCCCAGAGAACATGAAACTCCGAGGAGAGGAGAATTACATACAATGGAAAACTGCGATGGAGGACCTCGCGGATGCCAACGACCTTGTCCGTTTCGTACACCCAAAAGGCAAAGCTCCTCCACAAGCAGATGAGTTCGATGAGAAGGTGGACATTGAGAAACTCGCCACATGGAAAGCGTGGAAAGCAGGAGACGCATCGATGAAACTCATCATCCAAACTAATGTGAAGAAAACACCATCACAGCTGCTTGCAGGTTGCAAGTCAGCACGCGAAATGTGGGTGATCTTACAGTCTCAATATGAAGGAACTGGCGCAGTTCTCAACTTCAATGCAATTGAAACATACACCAAGATCAAGTACGAAGACTACGCAAACCTTGAACAATTCATCATTGGGTTCAAGAAAGCAATTGAGAAGCTCGCCAACCTCGAGATCTCTCCACCAGATGCGTGGCATCCAATTCTCTTCATCATGGCACTTTCAGATGCATGGCCAATCTGGGCAGAACGCCAGCGCTCGAATACCCGTAGTGAAGTAACAAAGCTCACACTCTCCGCGCTTATTGAGGATATTACGGATGAAGCTCACAAGAAGGACAAGAAAGCAGATGGAAGCATACACTACAATGGCAAACCACCTACGAAGGGCAAACCAAATTCGAAATTCAAAGACAGTGCAAAAGGGAAGAGTGGAAAGATGTGCAAGAACTGCGAAAATCCAAACGCAAGGCATGAACCCGAAAACTGCTTCGTTACAAACAAGAAGCTCCGTCACGAATGGGAACAACGGACTGGAAAGAAGTTCATGCCATTTAAACCGTCAAACTCAAGTAGCAAATCAAACAAGCTAAAGTGAGGCAAATTATGACAGAGATCTAATTCAACGAGTCTCTAAAACACAGCATGAAGAGCATCACTCAGAAATCGAAAATGAGAGCGAGATCTCAGAATCCGAAAACTCACCTCAGGAACTAGAACTTCATGAGTTGGATCAATACTCAGAAGTCGATGATGAGGATATAGAGCTGATGCCCACTATCACAGCGAGGAGAACTCGAAAGGTTTATATCCCAAAACCTGAGTTCAACAGGGTCACCCGCAACCAAACCCGCGAGCGACCACAACAGCCATATCAACCACAACAGCCACCGCAAGCTATGAAGCTCACTCAACAGTCACAGAACCAGAATTCGAGCTCAGCATTCATTGCAGCATTCACAGCTGGAGCACATACATCTATCTACGATGATCCAAGTACAATTGAAGAAGCAAAGCAGCAAGCAGACTGGCCAGAATGGCAAGCCGCCATCCAAAAGGAATACCGAAACCTCAAACACAAGGGCACTTGGAAGCTTATGCAGCGAACTCAACTACCATCACACGCGAAAGTGCTACCAGGAAAGCTAGTCCTCAAAACCAAGAGAGACAAGAATGGCTCTATCATGAAGCGCAAAGCGAGATGGGTTGCAAAAGGTTTTAGACAGAAACAGGGAACTGATTTTGATCAGACATATGCTGGAGTGTGCAAGACAACAACATGGAAACTCGCAATCGCAATCGCAGCATTTTTCGGACTTGAAATTGAGCAAGTGGATGTGGTTGGAGCCTTCCTCAATTCTGATACGGACACAGAAATCTTCATGGATGTTCCACCAGACTGGGAAGTCAATGGCAGCATACTGGAAAATGCGCCAAATTGGATGTGCCATCTACAGAAAGCACTTTACGGATTGAAGCAAGCACCTCGACTTTGGCAAAGAGAGCTTGCAAAGGCACTTCATGGACTTGGATTCACTGCATGCGCAAGCGATTACAGCGTTTATTGCAATCAGAAGACAGGAATCCTCATCGTCACATATGTGGATGATATGCTGATCATTAGCAAACAAATCACAACAATCCAAGGGCTGAAGAAGGAGCTGATGCGAAAATTCGAAATTGAAGACCTTGGGCCAGCAGCATACTTTGTAGGGGTGAGGATCACACGCAACAGAGAGGCAGGAACAATTTCCCTCTGTCAAGATGCATACATCACAAAGATTCTGCACCGCTATGGCATGGAGAATTGCAAGGCAGTGGACACACCTGTGGCTACAGGAGCTGCAGAAGTCATGATCCCATTTAAAGGCAAGGCTTCACACGCAGAAATTGAACTCTATGGATCGAAGATTGGATCGCTCATGTACCTCGCTGTCCAGACTCGACCAGATATCTCATATGGAGTCTCTGTTCTGTCCAGATTCCTCACTAATCCTTCGCCAGCTCACATGAAAGCAGCAGATCGAATCCTCCACTACTTACAAGGCACAAAGATGCTTGGAATCGAATATGGCATGCAAGGCGATACGCAGCTCCATGGATACTGTGACTCAGACTATGCAAGCGATAAAGCAAACCGTAAATCGGTCCTTGGAAATGCCTTCTTCTTCGCCGGAGGTGTGATTTCACACACTTCAAAGCGACAACAGACCGTGGCACAATCGACCACAGAAGCAGAGTACTACGCACTCGCAAAGGCGGTGTCAGAAGCACTATGGCTACAACAGATCATGAAGCAGATGATGTACACAGGAAATGACATTCAAGCTACGAAGATCTATGGAGACAACCAAGGCTCATTGAGCTTGGCCGAAAACCCCAAATTCCACCAGAGAACCAAGCATATCGATGTCAAGCACCACTTCATTCGGGAGCACATTGAAAATGGGTCAATTGACCTCTGGTATGTGGAAACAGCCAACATGGTAGCAGATGGATTGACCAAGCCGCTACCCGCCACACAACATGAGAAGTTCATACAGCAGCTTCAGATGAAGGTGATCACGGCCTAGGAAATGGGAATGGCCTCAATTCAGTCATGCAAAGGGGTGTGTTGAAGGAGGAGGTTGCTCAGACTGATTGGTCAGGCGTGTGGCTCGCCAACCGAATCGGGTTGCGGACCACCCACAAATAGTTCCGTAGATAGCTTCACTCAGAACAACAACAATACAAAAAACATATATTCAAGTGAACTGTTGTTCAACTCAACGTGATAACTATGCCGCTGCAGATACAGATACACCACTGATCTCAACAATAACCTTTGCTGCTTGGATGTCTAATGCCTTGCCTGAATATTTATAATAACAGTCTTGCCATTGTGCTTTTGCCCGCCTTTTTCGCATGTCTTGAATGCTTTTTGGCCAAATAATATCAAATACGTTAAAGTTATAACGTGGGTCGCATATTGTAGCTATAGTTGAATGACTCCGCTGTTGATTTGTTGCAAGTGTATAATACTCATTAAGCTTTTTTAATGCTGCTAAACAAGCGTCGTATATTGTGCTATTCTCTGTATATCCAGCTTTAAAGACTTCAAGCTTTTGCGTCATTCTCATATACTGTATAACAGCATAATTTAAAGTAGAATAAGAAGAGCCTTGTAGCTTCTCTGTTGGGCGTATAAAGATATAAAAAAAATCTAATAACGCCTTCATCGTTTGCCAATCTTTTGCTGTTAAAGCTATATCTTTCATACTTAAATCAAGCTGTTGAGATGCACAGAGAGCTGTTATTGGACCTTGTAATCTTAACGCTAAATGAAGCATATAATATGTTGAGCTCCATCGTACTGGCATATTGAGGCTAAGCTGCTTAAACTCAATATTTGCAGCTTCACATTGCTTTTTTAAGGCATCCTTCCATTGTCGTCGGTTGCGAAACACATATATATGACGCCAAAGTTTGCTAAGAACAACTACTGACTCATTTTCTGGTAGTGATGGAACTCGGGCAGCTCCATACTCAAGGCGGTATGCGTTTGGCTCATCTGCTGGTACTGCCTTTAACGATGTTAAAGCAGCTTGAACAGCAAGGTTCATCATTTGCCAATCTTTTGCTGTTAAAGCTATATCTTTCATACTTAAATCAAGCTGTTGAGATGCACAGAGAGCTGTTATTGGACCTTGTAATCTTAACGCTAAATGAAGCATATAATATGTTGAGCTCCATCGTACTGGCATATCGAGGCTAAGCTGCTTAAACTCAATATTTGCAGCTTCACATTGCTTTTTTAAGGCATCCTTCCATTGTCGTCGGTTGCGAAACACATATATATGACGCCAAAGTTTGCTAAGAACAACTACTGACTCATTTTCTGGTAGTGATGGAACTCGGGCAGCTCCATACTCAAGGCGGTATGCATTTGGCTCATCTGCTGGTACTGCCTTTAACGATGTTAAAGCAGCTTGAACAGCAAGGTTTATAATGTGCCCAATACATCTGACATCACCTTCTTTTGTTGTATATGCCCATGGTTGCTGTAATGTAGTTTCGTTCTTGCATGCTAAGTTCTCATATTCTGAGAGCATGGTAGTGTTTGCAGAAGTGTTATCACGAGTGATAGTAAAAGCTGCAGGAGTAATACCATAGTCGTCTGTAACAGCTATTAACTGCCCTGCAAGATATTCACCAGAATGGATTGGCTCTTGTAGCTCAATAACATCTAAGACTGTACATCGTAATTATCACTTATCAGAGATTCAATGTGCTGTTACTGCAGCGTATTCAGAATAGTTGCGTGCAGACCAAGTATCAGTTGTTAAAGATATCCGTCCACCTTGTGCAGTATGCTGCTGTAATTCAAGTTGTAACCTTGCTGTAACGCTGACTTCTAAACGATAGAAGACACAGAGGTTCTCTTGCGTAAAGGTTTACTTATCAGAGGAGGCAGGGGATCAGACACAAAGGCTTCAAGTAACACGTTACTAGTATATAACAAATACTGTATTGAGTTGAGCACGAAGCTCCTATCTAAGAACTAACTATCTACTTATATAGTGGCGTCGTGCCTAGTGGACTCCTGGGAACTCACTCGAGTCCTCGGAGTCCTGGACTCTTAGGATTCTTCTCATCATCCTGCGAGTCCGTCACGTGCCTAGTGGACTCCTGGGAACTCACTCGAGTCCTCGGAGTCCTGGACTCTTAGGACTCTTCTCATCATCCTGCGAGTCCGTCACGTGATACTTTCGGAACTACTATTCCCCGCTGCCCCTCCAGGTACCAGGGCCGGTCTCATGCGACCTCCCTCCTTCCTGTCCTGTAGTTGGCCAGCCTTCTTGTTCCGTCGTAACACTTGCTTTATGAATGCAAAATATCCGTTGCAAGTCTCTTGCAATTGTCGTCCGTCCAATTACAAGTGTTGTTGGATTTAAATGGCTAACAAGCTGCCGGAAGGATAGACTCTCAGATGTACGCAATGGTAGGTTATTAGACACAATACATGAGAGTAGAAGCTCTCTAAATTTTGACGAATTTGGTGCATGGCTAGGTACTTTGCGAGGCTGGAAGAATGTAGCTGTAGTTGAAGAAGAAGGCTGTGTATCTCCGTCTTGAACATGCTTTTTCTTATATTGTGCATGTATTGCTGGATGTTGTGTCTTTAAATGCTTCCAAAGATTACTCGTTGTCTGCATCTTTGTAGGTTGTGATGGTGTATATGTGCAATGTGGCTGCAAGCACTTAAATTGGCGTTTGGGCAGAAGTGAAGTCGGAAGCCTCACTTCACTGCCTGCATTACTTTGATTCTGAAAGGCGCATTATCAAGAACAGTACGAGAGTATAGACCCTTTGCAAAGAGGATTGAGTCAGAATCTGGTAACAGTTGGTCTTGAGGCCGTACAGGCATGCGTACAAGTGGTAGGGGCAAGAGTGGATCTTGAGAGGCATTCTCATATTCGCCCGGGTCGTCTAGGGGCGGCGGTGATAGCGAAGACTCGCTCATCTTGACGATGGTAAGTATCACAGTAATATTCAAGTCATTGAAAGCTTCACTTTGCCTATGCTATAATTCTGTCTACGTCCTTACCCCGCTCTCTTGGCTGTCTTGGCAACTACTCGAGTAGTACTCGAGTAGTTCAGATTTCTTCGAGTCGAGTAGTACTCGAGTAATTCCTCGAGTAGTACTCGCAACGAGTAGTACTCGGGCAACACTAATTCCAAGTAGCTTTAGTTTTAATACATATTCTGGTTATTTAATTATATTTTGAAGTAGTGGGGTGGGGAAAAGTGATCGACTCGGTGTACAACCACGTTATACATTATACCACTTATTAATCCCCTACTCATCATACTCCAGCGTCAGCGTCGTCGGGATCGGAGATTCATTAGCATTAGAATCCAAATACTGCCTCATCTTCACCCCCGCAAACTCATGCTCCACAATCGAAAAGTGCCCCTGCCGCCCATTCGCCCTCCTAACATTCTTCAACCTAAACACCTCCTTCAGGGTCGCCGCGAGCGACGCCCCAACCAACCTCGCGCCGAAGCAGAAGTGCAGCCCGTGGCCGAGGAGAATATAATCCTTGAATGGGCGGTGGGGGTTCAGCTTCTCGGGGTTGGGGAACTGGATGGGGTCCATGGCGGCCTTGGAGATGGCGATCAGGATGGTGTGGCCGGTTTTGATGGTGATGGGGCCGCGAGAGCCGTCCATGATTGTGACGTCCTTGGAGGCGACGCGGGGGAGGCCGGGGACAACACCGGCGTGGCGCATACCCTCGAATACGAAACCCTGGAGTTCTCTCTCGGATGCAGCGTCGTCCTTGTGGGACAGCTCGATGATGCGGTCCTTGTACTCATCATATCCCTCGCTGAGGTAGAGATCGATGAGTAGGGAGGCTTGTTGGGTTAGGTTACCAGCAACTGGAGTTCCCATACTGATACAGTCGCCCACGAGGTCACCAATAGGCAGCTTGGAGTCGTTGAGGGCGTGGTAGATTCTGTCAGCATCCGGGCCAACCTCGAACGCACTATCCTTGGCGAGCCAGTCGACAATGCCTTCCTTGAAGCCTTGCTGGGTCTTCAGGTGGGCCTCGAAGATCGCTCTGAGGGCTGGGGCGGCCTTCATTGCACCCTCTCTCAACTTCCACTCATTTGCGGGGATGATGTTGAAGCCCTGGTACATGAAGAGGACGAGGTAGATCATGAACAGCTCCGGGGTAGACATCAGGCCGTGCGGTGTCTCCTTCGTCTTGAGGGGAATGGCGAATCGCTCCGCAAGCCAAAGGATGGGGGTAACGTTGGTAACATCGCGCACGATATCAATCGACCTCCTGCTGTTCGAGTACTTCAACGACTTCTCCTTAATGAGCCTCGAGACATTGGTCCTGAAGAACTTTGTGAGGTTCGCCTCGAAGCCCTCTTCAAAGAAGACCTTGTGGAGAATGCTGGAGCGGGTGTCGTGACGCTTAGCATCGTCCCAGCCGATCATGAAATCGTGACCATCGGTACACTTGCGGGTTGCCGTCTGGTACATAACACGAAAGTTCTCGCGGTCCTCGAATACCTTTTTGCAGCCCTCGTGGGTGTGAATGCCAAGGACAACCTTGTCGCTAGCTGGTCGCTCCAGGTCGTATTGGTCAAGGACCTTGTTACCCTTCAGGATGCCCTTCGCTGCAATCGGAGTATAGAAAGGGAGGAGGACGTATGTAGACGTCCCCGTCCAAGCACCCGGAAGGGCATTGAACAGCAGATGAGGGAACATGCCACCGTACGCTCCGGCTGGGATGGCACCGAGTTTGGCGAATCCCCAGTTGCTTAGGGTGGTACTGTTGAAATCGTAGCTGAGGAATCGATCTCCACGGACGAGCGCAACGGCGTCATCGAGGATACCACGGCCAGTTGTATGGCCAGGGCAGACACCGCTACCAGGCATAGCTGGCTTGGTGACCTCTGCCATAAGACCAGGGTATAATTCAAGGTTCTCAATGTGGCCGTACAGGAGCTCGGCAGCTCTTGCTGTCTCCTTGTCTGGGTTCCAGTCCTCAAAGTCCTCGTACGGTTTCAAGTTTAGGTAACGACGGAATCTATCATAGATTTAGTACGACGCAACTTTACCCATCTCCATGGAATAACTCACTCGTTCATCGTGCAAACATTAAACACCTCTCTCGCCTGCAGCTGTCCCATTATATCAACAATCTTCAAACTCGCCGGAGTGCCGTGCGCACCAAAGGCGTGGGCTGGCTCTTCGATGCAATCCTTGATAATCTCCGCAAGTTCGACGTCGTTAAACCTTCCATCTGGCCCACGCTGGAGACCGCCAAATGTCCACTCTTTTGGCGGAGTAGCCATGAGCTTGTGTCCCTCGGTCATCATGACCTTCTTGAAGTCCGCAGCGGTGACATCGTCAATCGACTGGAGATCTGGGATGTGCGCGCGTATAACATCTTCCATCCACTTGTCATCAGCCGCACTGAGGGCCGCATGCCAATGGTAGAGGACGGCGAATTCGACGGAGACCACGTTGCCGGAGCCTCGCTCGAGTCGCTCTCCGCCATTCTTGATCTCACCACCGAGGTCCAGAGACCAGACCGAATCGGCTCTCGGGGTGTTAAGAATGGCGGCAACGTAATCCTTTAGCACCACCGACGCAAAAAAGCCGACATTGATGTTACGGGTAAGCTGGAAAAGATCCTCATCTTGCCTAAAATGCACGTGTTAAGATATTTTCTATAAATGCCTGGGAATAAGAAGCTTACCAAGCCTTCTGCTCGTCATCGAGGCTGTCCCAGTCCTTGTACTTGCCGCTCTCGTTAACAGACAGCAGGTTCTCCGCAATGTGGTTGTGATTTCTCGAGAACATCAACAGGACGGCCACTACACCCGGTGGCATCATCATGATTCTCTCCGATGCCATTGAGTCGGGGAAGATCCTCCCTTGCTCATAAGTTCTGACGCGCTTCTGCTCGTTTGCGTTATTTCCGTAAATGGTGCTCAGATCGACGTAGCTGGAGGTCTCGTTGATCAATGGGTTAGTCCGCGAAGTCTGGAAGCACTCGTGGATAACAACGGTAGCGAAGGAGAAGAACAGCCTGTTCAGGCCAGATGGGTGCTCGCGGAAGGGGCCCGTTCTCTTTAAGATCTGGTCAAATACGAGCTCTGGGTCTGGAAGGTTTGGTCCCTTGGGCTTCATGGGAGGCACGCTGCGGGAATAAGGCAACCCGGCCTTGCCCATCTCAGGAATCCACGGGTTGTTGCCGCTGCCATCAGGCTGTCTGTAGCGGGCTGCTGGGCCAGCGGTTGTGGGGGAAGGATGTGGCAGGTCTTTCCACAGCATGCCAATGAAGTTATTGGAGATGGTCTGGCTGAGGCCGCTGTTGGTTGGGAGGGATTGGAGCATGGCGACGCCCTTCTCTAATAACAGGTCCTTATCATCCATAGGTTCTCCCGACGCAAGAGTGGTTATGGCCTCCGCCACCGTCCTTGTGTTCTTGAGGCCAAGGTGTGTGAGATCATGAATGAGGGAGGTCCTCTCCTCCATGGACTTTCCGTACGCCTGCTCGTTCGTCCTGCCATCTGGGGCGTGAGAAGGCTTCCTCCGGATCGAGCCCAGAAGCGTCTTGAACTGACCGGGAGCCATTGTGAGAGTAGGGTTGAGGCGATGAACCTCGATTTGAGATTAAAGAGTTAAGATGGGGTATAATGATAAATAATAAGTGAGGAAGATGGGTTTGGGGATATTTTACATAGACTTGGGGAGAGAGAGAAAGAGAAATGGTCAGGCCGAGGGAGGAAAGGAATGGAGGTGGCAGGAACTGAAGGATGCGCCTTGTGGGCTGGGCTGATTGGGGGATGGAGGGGGGGCCCATTGGTGGTAAGGCGGGAGGAGGGGGGGGGGCTTCAAAGATGGGCAGGTGATGCGGTGACGGGGTGACGAGGTGGGACGGACTTGTAGAGAAAATTGGAGGTGTCAAGTACTGACAATACGCAAGTCAGAGCAGAGCCTATAGAATGATGAGCAACAGGAGCGGCAGGAGCGGCAGGAGCACCAGGAGCACCAGGAGCACCAGGAACAACGTGAGCAACGTGAGCAGGATGAGGTGAGATGCGATGCTCATAGTGGCTGGTTAAGGCGGCTGTGTACTCACTATATTGCGCGTCATATTAGACAAAGTAGGATTTTGTGCTGGGTGAAAGCGGCGAGGAGCGAGGCTATTCGACGGCGTGGTGGTGTGGTACGTCGAGTATAATCTCTCTATAAATCGCCTACTGGGGTATCAAATGCGGTCTGTGTCTCCGGGGACCCTTGAACAGTGCTACAACTCAGTATTACAGCATTACAATTGCCGTACAAATTACACGGCTGGGACGGCGGATCTGATTTTCCCCGGAAATTATTCCCAGCTTCAATGTTATGGAGTAAACACGCACTCCTTCCCAAACGGGTAAGTAAGTGTGGCTTGCATCGTCGGGAGCTGACCTGTCTCGATTTGGCTCAGCTCAGCTCAGGGTCCCGATCCAAGCCAATTACGTCTTAGTCTACCTCGGCGCCATCCCTGGTGCGGATCGCACGCAACCTTAAACCTTTTTAAAAAACCTTCTTAGTCCCCCCCGCCTGGGCCCTTCAAATCCCCCAGTAATCCCCTCTCAAAGCACTTTCTCAGCCCGACCAGACGGCCCCGAATATCATACTAATCGGGCAGTTCAGCCGTACCAGGTAGACTGACTGATTCATATGATTCACCCGGTGCGCGTAACCCTGTTGCTGAGTGGACGCCGCTGGAGGTGGCGTCGTATGGCGCCCATCGATATTGGATTCTCCTCAGCCCACTACATGCCGGCGACAATACCCTTTCCCGACTGCCTAGGTTCATCATTAGACGGTGCACCCTCAAATACCCTGCCGAGTCGGGGTGTGTGATGGAGCTATTGCGGGGTTCATCTGTCCTTTGCTCCATTGGAAGCCGCTACTATGCTAACCTACCGCCTACTCCGCAATCGCCCCCTCGCGACCCGCCTCAGATCATCATTACATCTCAAAGCAAATAGAGGCGCTTCATCTCATATGCTCTATTCAGGCAGCCGGCTCGCCGATATTGTTTGGTGTACTGCTTTGTTTACCCCTTGAGGCTGTGTATTATCATTCTAAGCTCGAGTTGAGTTGCACAGACAGAGTTCGTTGGCACCCACTATTATCTCGTACAACCACTTTTTATCTTAAGAAGAGCGACATCCTACTCGTCATCCTCAGTCACACAGCACAATGAACGGCCACGCCACAGATGTCCCCTGGAGGCAGAAGTTTTACCCAAGTCAAACATGCGCCGAACAGGTGCTGAACTACAAGTCGCTGGCGCCACTGGTTGAGGAACCAAGACCTGACCTGCCGCCCTCAATAAGAGCCGTTCGAAACCCAGGCGAGCCAAGCTCGGGCGGCCGTACCATCGTCATCTGCCTCGATGGCACCGGCGACCAGTTCGATGGCGACAATAGCAACGTAGTCAACTTTGTCGCGTGCTTGAAGAAAGATGATCCCAACCAACTCACATACTATCAATCTGGCATCGGCACCTACGATGGGCGTGGGGTGAAGAGCGGGATCTCCGCGGCTATCGACATGGCAGTTGGCAGTGGCCTCGGGACTCACGTTAAGGATGCGTACCGCTTCATAATGGAGAATTACATTGAGGGGGACAAGATCTGTCTCCTGGGATTTTCGAGAGGCGCATACACCGTGCGCTGCCTAACCGGTATGCTGCACAAGGTTGGCCTGCTGCCAAAGCAAAACAGCGCCCAGGTCGCGTTTGCCTACCGCTTCTACAGGAATGATACCGCAAAGGGTTGGAAGATGAGCGCTGAGTTCAAAAAGACATTCTGCACCAACATCCAGGTGCACTTTGTTGGGTTGTGGGACTGTGTGGCCAGTGTCGGATTCATCCCCAGAACGCTGCCTTTCAGCAAGACTCCAACGAACACGATCCGCCACTTCCGCCACGCCATGGGTCTGGATGAACACAGGGCTAAGTTCAAAGTATGCCAGTGGCAACATCAGGATGTAGTCGTCGACGGCCAAAATAAAGGTCAAGGTCCAGCCGAAGCCGAGCCGGCCCCGCAAGATGCCTACCTCAACTTCCAACCTAGAACATCTCACCCTCCAGCTAAACGGTGTTCTGAAGCGGTCATCGAGCACCCCCGACTTCAAACTCAAGCGATCGTTGACTTTGCCAATTGGTCTTGTGGGGAAATCACTCAAAGAGGCCCAGGACCAAAAAGACCAGAAACAGATCCGACTCGAGAAGCAATTCGAAAAGGACGACCACTCTGTGTACGAGCATATCAAGACTGACACCCTCGAGGTCTGGTTCACAGGTGCCCATGCCGACGTTGGTGGGGGCGCAGTACCGAATGGGGAGCGCCACATGCTCTCGCGTATCCCTCTCCGTTGGATGATCCGACAGTGCTTCGAATGCGAGACTGGGATTATCTTCAACGCCGCCCCGCTAGCAGAAACTGGCATCGACGTCCTGACCGTCTGGCCCATCTACAAAACGCCGACGAAGCCTGTCGTCGGCCCTTCGCCAATCATGGTGGGTCAGTACGAGGAGAAGAAGCTCCCTCCTCTCAGACGCCGCTCCACTGCCCTAGGTTTGAACAAGGATTATGAGGACATGGGTAACGATGAAAAGCGGGAGATTGTCATTGACGACATCATGAATGAGGCCGAGAGACTGCAGTACCAGGCAGACCTGCTTCCCGAGCACGTCGAGGACCACTTCGACGCCATGGCCTCCATCAACGACCAGCTCGAGCTAGCGAAGACTTGGTGGGTCCTCGAGTTCTGGCCTGTCAAGGTGCGCGTGCAGAAGAAGCACTCGGAGGAGTGGGAGAAGGTCGTGCGGTGGAATCTTGGCCGGTACAGACCGATTCGCGAGGAGGAGCCGAAGATGCACTGGACGGTGCAGATGCGGATGAATGATAAGGCTTATAAGATTAGGAATAGGGTGGATATCAATGCGATCTGGCAGGTCGCTACGTGAGAACTTTCGGGGTGTTTTTTTCCCTTTGTTGGGGTAGTAACGGATGAGGTATAGTAAAACCGGAAGGACCACCTACGAGCGAAGCTCGCTTCGCTCGTAGGTATTTAGGGTGGGCTTTAAGGAACTGTTGAAGCTAACGTTAAGAGGGCAGCCCTTTGCTGGGTGGGCTTTAAGGAACTGTTGAAGCTAACGTTAAGAGGGCAGCCCTTTGCCTAGTCGCAAGTAATATATGACCCAACTCGAGCGTAGTATTCCTGCAAATCGGAGTACTACTACAAGCTGTCGTAGACTTGCGACTAGGCAAAGGGCGCTGTCGTAGACTTGCGACTAGGCAAAGGGCTGCCCTCTTAACGTTAGCTTCAACAGTTCCTTAAAGCCCACCCTAAATTCAGGAATACTACGCTCGAGTTGGGTCATATATAAATTGGCAAATTGCAGCATCTTGTGCAGGAGTCAATACTCGGTTTTTTCCTCCATATGGCTTGCGCGTTGTAGATATCTGACCCAACTCGAGCGTAGTATTCCTGCAAATCGGAGTACTACTACAAGCTGTCGTAGACTTGCGACTAGGCAAAGGGCTGCCCTCTTAACGTTAGCTGTCAAGGTGCGCGTGCAGAAGAAGCACTCGGAGGAGTGGGAGAAGGTCGTGCGGTGGAATCTTGGCCGGTACAGACCGATTCGCGAGGAGGAGCCGAAGATTGCTACGTCGCCTCGTGAAAATCACTTCAGTACTTCTCCAACCCATGATTTTGCAGAAGCCGTGCAGTTCTCTTTAAAGCCTCCACAAGCCCATACAATCTCCTGGGTCGCTACAAAATTCGACATTAAGTACGAAACTCTACTACGAGTTGGGTATGCGAAAGCAAGTATGCTACGTCGCCTCGTGAAAATCACTTCAGTACTTCTCCAACCCATGATTCTGAATATAAATCTCGCATTGCAGAAGCCGTGCAGTTCTCTTTAAAGCCTCCACAAGCCCATACAATCTCCTGGGTCGCTACAAAATTCGACATTAAGTACGAAACTCTACGACGACACATATCGAGCCGATATCTACAACGCGCAAGCCATATGGAGGAAAAAACCGAGTATTGACTCCTGCACAAGATGCTGCAATTTGCCAATTTATATATGACCCAACTCGAGCGTAGTATTCCTGCAAATCGGAGTACTACTACAAGCTGTCGTAGACTTGCGACTAGGCAAAGGGCTGCCCTCTTAACGTTAGCTTCAACAGTTCCTTAAAGCCCACCCTAAATTCCACTCTATCATGAAACTGCTGCTTAACCCTATTCCGTTTGACTTCTTCTACACTACTTGGCTAAAGGCTATTGAATACATTAAGATTCATGTGTGGATCGCAAATTGTAGCTACCCCTAAATGAGACCATCGTTGATTTGCAGCAAGAGTATAGTACTCATTAAGCTTCTTATATGCTGCAATATAAGCTAGGCTAATTGTTGACGATATGCCAACCTCCTTCTATAAAGCCCAAAGCTTATTTATCATCTTTAGATATTGAGGAATTGCAAAGTTAACCGTTAGATATAAGCCTGCTTGTAGCTTTTGTAAAGGCTTAACAAATATCTAGAAGAAATTTTGAAGTGTGTAGAGTGTTACCCAATCCTCTAGCGTAAGAACAATATCCCTTATTGTAAGGCGGCCCTCACGTGAGGGCACGTGAGGTGCCACGCTCTTACAGTGGACCTGGCGGGCTCAGTAAATTAGGGCCTACGGGTTCCTGTATATAAGGGGCTGGAGGCTCGGAGTGAGGCCTCCAGTCAATAGTCGCTATATCAGCGTAGACCTATTGTGCTTCACACCAATATAACCCTTACTTCCTACCTCCTAACCTAGTTCCCTGAACTCCCGTGACACCCTGGGCCCTACGCCTTTACAATTCTATTGACTCAACCTATATTCAGCCTACCAGATTAGGATGGCAAGCCAGGAAAAGAGGATTACCCGGGCGACCTCCGGAGGAGCGACACCCTCGACGGAACCAACAGAACCTGCCCCGAGGCCTATAGCACAGGAAGCTGACAGCCCAAGAGAGGAGATGGCCTCGAAGCTGGCTAGCCTCTGGAGACGAATAGATGAGGAAAAGGCCTACTTCAACACCATGGAAGAGGCCCTCCAAGTATTCCGACAGTCGCACGGCGAAGACTATAGCGCCTACCCTGAAGAAGTGAGGCTCTTCGCGGAAAGGCAGGCCCGGATATGAGAGGAAAGCCGGAAGAGGCGACACCAGGACAGTGAGGAAGAGTGGGAGAATCCTCCGGACGAGGAAGCCCAGGAAACAGCCTCTACTCTGTCGACAGAGACGACGCCAGCCCACAGGCCCTTCGGAAGGGTCAAGGACCCCAAGGTCTACAAGGGCGAGTCAGCTAGGGAGCTCAACGAATTCATGGCCTCAATCCGCACCTCCTTCCGGTACCAGCCTAGGATGTTTCCGACCGAACAATCCAAGGTGGCCTTCGCAGCCCAATACCTCGAGGGCGACCCTATGAAGGAATGGGACAACCGCTGCGCCTCCCAGGATGAGGGCTTCGCAGACCCCTTGGATATCGCTGGGTTCGAGGAGTCCTCCGCGACCTCCACGTTGACCCAGCCAACCGACAGCGTATTGCGGCCCTTAAGTATAACGGTGCCCACCAGCGCAAGGGACAGGGTATCCGTAAGTTCGTCACGTACCTTGAGGAATTGGAACGGGAAATGGAACCATATACCGAGTCCCAAAGGACCACCCACCTCCTGACGAAGATCCACCCAGATATGAGGCAGCGGCTCCTTGAGGGAGGGTACGCCGAGCATTCCTCCACCCACAGGGAGGCTGTCATCAATATCCTAGCGATGCTGGAAATGACCAACCGGGTCACAGAGAAGGCTCCTACCTCAGACAAGCCTAAGGAGGGAAGAAGCTCCCCTCGGGGCAACTTCCCGAACCGAAGGGGCAGTTTCAGCAGCAACCGGGGATCTCGGTCCACCACCCCAGGAGAGAGAACCCTTCCCTGGAACAGACGCCGGAATCTAGACCAGCCTACAACAAGAGGGCAGACACCTACCCAGAGCAGGGACCCAAGGCCAGCTCCAAGCGGGAGCTGCTACAACTGTGGCAAGGCAGGCCATTTTGCGAAGGAATGCCGTAGCCAGGGCCAATATACAGGCCTTGGGGTGAGGAAACTGGATATCCAGAAGAAGGAGTGACTCCCAGCCGGAGCTCCACGACTTACGCCTAGAAAAAGGATGGAAATCGACGTGGAGCTACAGGTAGGGCCGACCTGGCACAAGGCCAAGGCCCTCCTCGATTCAGGGTCGGACGCATCGACGATCCACCCTCTTTTTGCAAAGGACGTAGGCCTCGAGTGCCGAGACAAAGGCCCACCCCGAGTGAAGGCTGTCAACGGCAAAGAAGTCATCATATACGGGACAGCAACCACAAAAGTTAGGGCCCAGGACCACTTTCGAAGGGAGTCGACCGTCAACCAGACGCTCCTTTCCATGGACACCCCAGGGGTGGATATTATCCTTGGAATGGACTGGATTGTACAGGTCAACCCCCAGATTGATTGGCGGACCCAGATCTGGCGCCACCCCTTCGATATAGCGAAGGCAGTAGTTGCGGATATAGAGGGCCTAGATGAAGGTGACGCCGCCTTTATCCTGGCCCTGACCTCAGAAGAAGCATCGTCCACGCAGTGCCCAAGAGAGTATGAGGAGTACGCTGATGTCTTCTCCGAGGAGCGGGCAGAAGACCTACCCGAACTAGGTAGGAAGACTTATGGTATCGATACTGGAACCCAGGAACCACCCTACGGTCCAGTATACAACCTTTCCGAGACGGAACTGGCCACGCTCCGCGAATACCTCCAATCGAGCGAGACGAAGGGCTGGATCCAACGGAGCGTGAGCCCAGCAGGCGCGCCTATTCTGTTTGTCCAGAAGAAGGACAGCAGCCTACGCCTTTGCGTAGACTACAGGGGTCTGAATAACATCACAGTGAAGAATAGACACCCGTTGCCATTGATCACGGAGACCCTAGATAGACTCCAGGGAGCGAGGAGCTTCACCAAGCTCGACATCCGGAATGCCTACCATAGTTTCCGTATTCGCCCAGGCGACGAGTGGAAGACTGCCTTCCGTACTCGCTATGGACACTTTGAGTACAAAGTGATGCCTTTTGGCTTGGCCAACGCGCCTGCCACGTTCCAAGCCTATATGAACGAGACTCTCGAAGGGCTCGTAGACACTATATGTGTCGTATACCTAGACGATATCCTTATTTACTCTCAGAGGGAGGAGGATCACACCAACCACGTACAGGAGGTGTTAGGACGCCTACGTGAGGCGAACCTATACGTGAAGCTCTCGAAGTGCGAGTTCAATACCAAGAAGGTAAGCTTCCTTGGGTATATCGTCACAACAGAAGGGGTTGCCATGGAGAGCGACCGGGTTGCTGCGATAGCTGAGTGGCCTATACCAAGGACCCACCGAGAGGTCCAGGTATTCCTCGGCTTCGCCAACTTCTACCGGCGCTTTATTGAGCAATACTCCTCTGTTGTGGCCCCATTGACTGGCCTCATGAAGGGGGCCAAGGCAGGAAAGCCAACAGGACCCTTTGTCTGGGGCGTAGAACAGCAGGGCGCGTTCGACCGCTTGAAGGAAGCCTTCACTACAGCCCCAACGCTGGTCCACTTCGATCCAAGCCGCAGAATCAGGCTGGAGACGGACTCCTCTGTCTTTGGCCTTGCTGGAAACCTGTCCCAGTTTGTAGACCAGCTAGAAGGAAAGGGCGTATGGCACCGAGTCGCGTTCTACAGCAAGAAGCTGGAACCGGCCGAATTGAACTACGAGGTCCACGATCAGGAGCTCCTGGCGATCGTGAGATCCTTCGAACAGTGGAGGCATTACCTAGAGGGTAGCCAACACCCAGTTGAGGTCCTGACGGACCACAACAACCTGAGATATTTCATGGAAACCACCGCCCTCACAAGGAGGCAAGCGCGGTGGGCGCAGGCGTTGTCAGCCTACGATTTCCACATATCCTATCGGGCTGGAAAGACGAATCCCGCAGACGGGCCGTCGAGAAGACCAGACTACGAGGAAGAGAAGGGTAGCCAGAACGTTATGTTGCCTACCCTTCAGAGCAA